CCTCCAAGGACATTAAGTCCAACCATTCCAATCATTCCCAGCACTGCCAGAGCCCCTATGGAATTACTGAGGTTGGAAAAGCCCTCCAAGACTACAGAGTCCAACCATTCCCAGCACTGCCCCATTGAGTCCAACCATTCCCAGCACTGCCGGGGCCCCCATGGAATTACTGAGGTTGGAAAAGCCCTCCCAGGGCATTGAGTCCAACCATTCCCAGCACTGCCAGGGCCCCCATGGAATTACTGAGGTTGGAAAAGCCCTCCAAGACTACAGAGTCCAACCATCCCAGCACTGCCAATACCCCACATCCCCAAGTGCCACCTCCACACGGGATGGGCACTCCACCACTTCCCTGGGCAGCTCCCCAGGAAGGAATCTCCCCCCACCACCCGGAGCACCCACCTTGAGCAGCTTGCAGCGGATCTGGGCCGAGACCATGTGGCTGTTGCGGAGGTTGCCCACGCGGAACATGAGCGTGAGCTTGCCGTCGCGCATGGAGATGGCGGCGTGCTCGCTGAACATCAGCGTCTCGGCCCTCTTCTTGGGCTGCGACATCTTGATGAACATGCAGCCGATCAGGAAGGCGTCCACGATGGAGCCCAGGATGGACTGGAAGAGGAAGAGGATGATGCCCTCGGGGCACTTGTCGGTGATGTAGCGGTAGCCGTAGCCGATGGTGGCCTCGGTCTCGATGAAGAAGAGGAAGGCGGAGGGGAAGTTGTAGACGTTGGCCACGCACGGGGTGTAGCTGTCGTCGTGCGCCTTGTTGAGGTCCCCGCGCATGTAGGCGATCACCCACCACATGGAGGCCATGAAGAGCCAGGCCACGGTGTAGGTGAGGATGAAGATGAAGAGGTTCCAGCGCCACTTGAGGTCCACCAGCGTGGTGAAGAGGTCGGACAGGTAGCGGCTGGTCTCTCCGCCCAGGTTGCCGTGCTGCACGTTGCAGCGCCCGTTCTTGTCCACGAAGCGCTGGCGCTTCCCCCGCGGGGCGCTGCGCGGGGGCGGGAGGCCTCCGCCGCTGGCCGAGGTGCTCACCACCTGGTACTCATCGCCCAGCTTGCGCCGCAGCGCCGACATGCTCCGCGCAGCCCCCGGCAAGATCCGCGGGGCCGGCAAAATCCGCGCAACCCCGGCACCGGCTCAGCCCCGCGCAGCCACCGGCACCCCGCTCAGCCGGCAAAATCCGCGCAGCTCCGCGCAGCCACCGGCACCCGGTTAGACCGGCAAGATCCACGGGGCCGGCAAGATCCGCGGGGCCCCGCGCAGATCCCGGCACCCGGCAAGATCCGCGGGGCCGGCAGAATCCGCGGAGCCTCCGGCACCCCGCTCAGCCGGCAAAATCCGCGCAGCCCCGCGCAGCCACCGGCACCCCGCTCAACCCCGCGCAGTCTGCGCACCCACCGGCACCCGGTTCGGCCGGCAAAATCCGCGCAGCCGGCAAAATCCGCGCAACCCCGCGCAGCCTCCGGTACCCGGCTCAGCCCCGCGCAGCCTCCGGTACCCGGCTCGGCCGGCAAGATCCGCGGAGCCACGGGCACCCCGCTCAACCCCGCGCAGTCTGCGCACCCACCGGCACCCGGTTCGGCCGGCAAAATCCGCGCAGCCTCCGGTACCCGGCCCGGCCGGCAAGATCCGTGGGACCGGCAAGATCCGCGCAGCCCCGCGCACCCACCGACACCCGGCTCAGCCCCGCACAGTCCGCGCAGCCCCGCGCACCCCGCACGGCCCCGCACACCCCACAGCTCCGCGCAGCCCGCCCGGCCCCGCTCAGCCCCGCTCAGCCCCGCATCCCCCGCTCCAGCCCCGCTCAGCCCCGCATCCCCCGCTCAGCCCCGCATCCCCCGCTCCAGCCCCGCGCAGCCCGCCCGGCCCCGCCGCTCCGCGGCCGCGGAGCCTCCGCCCGGCGCCGCCGCTCCTCCCACGCGGAGCCGCCGGCAGCGGCCCCGGGCAGGGCAGCACCGCCCCGCGCAGCGCCACTCCTCCCGCACCGCCCCTGCATCCGCGCACCGCACCTGGGCCCTCCCCCTCTGACCCTGCGCGTCCCAGCGCGCAACGAGCCCGCGCACATCCGCCCTCCGCATCTTCATCCTCCCCTTCATCCTCCCCCCAGCATCCTTCGCTCATCTTCCTCCCCCGGGGCTCCATCCCTCCTCCTCCTCCTCCCTTGGAGGGGCTCCAGCTCGCACAGAACCAACCGGGAGGGGGCGAGGGGAGGTCGGGCACTGCTATTCCATTCTATTCTATTCTATTCTATTCTATTCTATTCTATTCTATTCTATTCTATTCTATTCTATTCTATTCTATTCTATTCTATTCTATTCTATTCTATTCTATTCTATTCTATTCTATTCTATTCCATTCCATTCCATTCCATTCCATTCCCCTTTATCCCGTTTTTACCTTCACTGCATTCTATGTCAGGTTTTTGAGGTGTTTTTGTCCCCACGGCAGCCACGGGGCACTGCCAGAGGGGACCCAGAGGGGACCCAGAGGGGACCCAGCCCCTTCCCCCCAGCAAGAAATGCCCCAAAAGAAGCCACAAAGCTCAGCTCTGCCCCAGAGCTGGTGGGGAGCAGGAAATCAGCCCAAAACCGTGGATAAATGCCCAGGGAATGATGGAGCAGTTTGGGTGGGAAGGGAGCTGGTGATGCTCTGAAGGGTCAGGCTGCACCCAAGGGTGCTCCTCACCCCCTCCTGCTCCTGCTGCTCCAGGACTGCCGCCATCAGCTCCAGAAAAAACTGGGATTGGCAGCTTTAACCATGGGATAAAGCCCTGACACACCTCATTTTTTAACCATGACCTTCCTAAGAACTGATTCCCAAGGACTTTTCTTGCCACTGCAATTCTATTCTATTTAGAAATAGAAAAATATTCTATTTTTTTTCCAGAAAATATATTTAGTTCCCCGCCCTTTTTCCCTGTGATTGACACAATGCCTGTTAATTTTCCCACCCAATTAAAGGAAATTTTGTATGGAATTCATCCCAGATTCTGGCTAACTCTGGCCACGCTGCCAGAACCCTCCTGGCTCCCAGATCCAGCAGCCCTGCCAGCTTCCCCTCTCCTATTTCTCCTTCCTCCATCCCTCCTGTTTTCCCAGAGGCCTCTCCCTGGGCTGGAATTGGGCAAAGATTCCCTGTGAGCCACCCCAGTGTGACAGTGACAATCCAAGGGGAGCCATTCCCTGGCTCCTGTCCCTCCATCCCTTGTCCCCAGTCCCTCTCCAGCTTTCCTGGAGCCCTTCAGGCCCTGCCAGGGGCTCTGAGCTCTGCCTGGATCCTTCCCTTCTCCAGGGGAACATTCCCGGGGCTCTGAGCTCTGCCTGGATCCTTCCCTTGTCCAGGGGAACATTCCCGGGGCTCTGAGCTCTGCCTGGAGCCTTTCCATGGCCTCCTCAGGACTCTCCAGCATCTCCACATCCTCCTTGTGCTGAACATCCCACAAATCCAACCTCCTGTGTCTGGATCTGTCCCAGCTGAAGGTTCCAGGTGAGGTTTCCCATCCCAGGTCCCTGTTTAGATCCATCTAAACTCACCTTAAGGGGCAGGAGTTCCCTCTGGAGCTCCTTTTCCTGCAATTCCATCTCTAACCTGCAATTCCGAGGCTTTCCCAGGTTTTAGCTGGTGTGGGGATGATGACAGATAAAAGGATGGGATAAATTATTTATTCCCTGGATTAACAGTCATTCCCAAAGCTGTCTCTTCCAATCCCACTGCCTGCATGTGGATTGAGGGCAGATCCTGCTGTTTTCCCTTGGAAAAATCATTTCCAGTTTGAAATGGGAGTTGGAGCAGGTGGTCATGGCAACAGTACCAGGATTTTCCTGACCTCAAAAATATCCTATCCATCCAGAGGGGATGAATCCCTAATTCCCTTAAATAAATCCTAAAAAAAAAGGGATAAATCAGATTTCCAGGGAAATGAGATGGAGGTTGGTTCCCTCTCTGTAATTTTCTGTCAATCCTAATTACTAACATTTCTGAGAAATTCCAAAAAAAAAAAGGGGAAATACCTCCGTGTCTGCATTCATCCCTCCCAAAGGGATTATTGGGTGATTCATTCCCAGGCTCCACAGCCCATCATTAACAGGAGCAGTTAATTACCTCTAAGGGCTTTAATTACCAGCAGAGGAGGTTGGGCCTCACCAGGGTTTGGTGTCACCTGCAGCTCCAACCCCCCAGACACCCGCAGGGACAACCTGGAACAGGGAATTACTGAGAAAAGGGATTTTAGTTGGGATTTTCCATGTTTTTTTGGACAAGGAAGCAACTCTGGATGTGGGGAATCTCATTGAATGAGTTCTTAATTAGTCCTTTTGTGATCTGATTGATTGAAGGGCCCTGCAGCAGTGTAGGGTGAATGATAAAATTATATATGAATCTAGAAATTCTATTTATAAAATTCTAATTTTGTAAGTGGCTCCAGCTCTGACATCCAGGAGCCTTGGGATGGGACAGGGAGCGTTGGGAATGTGGAGCTGTCCCCCTTTGGAGCAGGGGAGTGTCACTGCCCTCTCCCACGGACCTTCCCCACCTCCTCCTTCCCAACCCAAATTCCCAACCCAAATTCCAGCCCGAATTCCCGGCCACGGGACCCACCCAGGGCTGTGCTGTGCCCAAACCCTGGGGAAGGAGATGGAATAAATAACAAATTCCTCTTTTCCTGCATGGAAATTCCTCTTTCAATTTGATCCTGATGTTTTCCTGCTCTTTTTACCAAGCAGAATGAAAACTCTCCCCTTTTAGGGGGATCTTTTCAACCACATTTTGTATTTTTGGAGTAACTGGAGGAGGAGGAGCAGGAATATTTGGGCAGGAGGCTGGAGATGAGCCCCAATCCGAGTTAATCCGGGATATTCCAGCTCCATGCACGCCCAGCAATCCCTTTTCCAGCTGAAATCCCTCCTGCTTCCCATGCAATGCTCATACCCAGCAAACATCCTCTGTGATTTTCACCCCCAGAAACCCCGGGATGAATCCACAACCACCAGAGCAGATACAGAAAATACCAGCATTTTTAATCACCAGAGCATTTTACAGAGATTTTTGGGAATTGTCAGGGAAATCCTGGGAAATATTTCCCCACTTACCCGTGCTGGGATCCCGCTGCCCTGGGATTTCTGTCTCTGGGCAGCGAGAATTCCCAAAATCCCGGCCCAGAGAGCCACAGCTGCATTTGGGGTGGCTCCCAAAGGAATGTCCCCAGCACATTCCAGGAATGTCCCTGTCCCCACATCCCAGCAGGAACGGCCACACCCACAAAAGGACTGAGCCCCCCAATTCCTGAAATTCCTGAAATTCCTGAAATTCCCAGAGGCAGAAAGGAGCTCTGGGATTCCTCTGGGAGCGGGAACACCTGGAGGCAGAGCTGGGGGTGGATCCAGGGATGGAGCTGTGCCTGTGGCCTGGTGGGATTCAGGGAATCACGGATGCGTTGGGATGGAGGGATGGAGACCCTGCAAGCTCCAGAGGGCTCAGCTTTGGACAGCTCCATCCCATGGAAGGAGGGGACAGCTCCCTCAGTGCCACTCCGAGGTCCCACCAGTGTCACTCCAGCGTTCCCGTGTCTCCTGTGGGAATTCCTGTTGGAATCTGTTGGAGCTCCTGCTGAAGCGCAGTCCTGGCCTGGTTTTCCCAACACTGGATCCCGGATTTTCCCAGCACAACCCAGGAAGCTTTGGTGCTGTCAAATCCCACTGGGCACAAGAGACCACCCAAGGTCCTCCAGGATATTCTTCCAGGATCTTCTCCAGGAGAGCCCAGCACATCCCATCAGCTCGGGACACAGCTCCCAGGATGGCTCCCAGTGCCGTATCCCAACTTCTCTGAGGTCAGCCACTGCCTCTGGAATCTCTGGAGTGACAGTGACAATTCCATATCCCAACTTCTCCGAGGTCAGCTGCTGCCTCTGGAATCTGGAGTGACAGTGACAATTCCATATCCCACCTTCTCCAAGGCCAGTGGCTGCCTCTGGAATCTGGAGTGACAGCAACTCCTCCATATCCCAACTTCTCCGAGTTCAGCTGCTGCCTCTGGAATCTCTGGAGTGATGGTGACACTTCCATATCCCAACTTCTCCAATGTCAGTGGCTGCCTCTGGAATCTCTGGAGTGACAGTGACACTTCCATATCCCAACTTCTCCGAGTTCAGCTGCTGCCTCTGGAATCTCTGGAGTGATGGTGACACTTCCATATCCCAACTTCTCCAAGGTCAGCCACTGCCTCTGGAATCTCTGGAGTGACAGCAATTCCTCCATATCCCAACTTCTCCAAGGTCAGTGGCTGCCTCTGGAATCTGGAGTGACAGTGACACTTCCATATCCCAACTTCTCCGAGGTCAGCTGCTGCCTCTGGAATCCGGAGCCCGCTGGCGTTGTCACTGCAGACCTTGGATCACCTGGAGGCCTGGAGGAGTCCAAGGGCACCCCTGGGTGCCTCTGCTGGGGTGGGGAGCGGGCTGGGCACTGCTGGGTGCGGCAGGAAGAGCGGGAAGAGCGGGATGAGGGCGGGAATCAGGCCGCCAGGGTCATGTTGCGCAGCAGCCACTGCTGGGCGCGGCCGCCGCCGCACTCGCGCATGGTGGGCACCAGCCGGTCCTGCTCCGACGGCTCCGCCAGGCACTGGTTGCTGTTCAGGTGCCTCAGGGTCAGCTTCTGCAAGGGGGGGGGACAGAGAATTCCTGCTGAAACCGGCGTTCCCATGGAATTCCAGCCGGGGAATGTGATTTCCTGGCATTCCAGGCCTGGTTTGGTCGTTGCGCGGTGCGCCGGGAATCTCCTGGAGCTCCAGGACATCCCCACCGTGTCCCACCAAATTCCTGCTCCTCCCTCCACTGAGCCAACAAACCCCTCAGCAAAGGGAGAATAATTCCAAGGAAATCGTGAATTTCCAAGTCCCACCAAATTCCTGCTCCTCCCTCCGCTGAGCCAACAAACCCCTCAGCAAAGGGAGAATAATTCCAAGGAAATCGTGAATTTCCAAGGCACAGCTGTTGGACGGAGGAGTTTGGTCCCCACGGCCATGGACATGTGGGATGTTTGGGAGCAGAGCAGGAATTGTTGCTGATGGGAATGTATTTGCTCAGTATTCCATGGAAAAGCTCCTGTTCCCAGGGCATTTCTCCTTCCTGGGACACCCCTTCTGATCCCACATTTCCGTGGGGTGGGAGAATTAGAGGGACACAAAATGAATTGGAAGGAAGAAAACACCACCTGTTCCACGGGGAGAACAAATATAGAAATAAAAATTATAAAATGTATACATGGATATATAAAAATTTAAATATATGTGTGTGTATATATATATATGTATAAAGATTTTTTTCTGGTGTTCCAACTAAACTGGTGGGATATTCCAACAAGGAGTTTGGTTTTCTTACCACCCATCCCCTTGTGCTACTCCAAGGTATAGGAAGAATTTCATGAAAATTCTATGAAAAAAATCTATTTAAAAAATCAAATTCCAGGGAAAATCTAGGAAAAAAACTATGGAAAAATATGTGGGAAAGCTGAATCTTTTTGAGAGAATATTTTGCAACTGGAATTAGTTTTATGTCTTGGAATAGGAATTAAATCTTCAGCTCCTGCAGACTGGAACAATCATGGTAACAGGAAGAGATCAAGGGAGTTTAATTCATCCAAAATTAATCAAAACTAACAATAATTAACACTAATAATTACTAGTAACTAATAATTACTAAAAGCTAAGAACTAACATTAAACATCCGTTCTATCCTACAGCTATAAAATCATCTTCTGTCTTGTTTTATAGAAAATATTGGAATGAAAAATTCTTTTTAATTATATGAAAATTATACTAAAAAAATATTAGATTTTGTGAAAATTCTATTAAAATTCTACAAAAAAATTCTATGAACATTCTGTGAAAATTCCACGAAAAATTCTATGAGATAATGGTATGAAAAATTCTAGGAAAATTGTAGGAAAATTCTACAGAATATCCATGAAAATTCTACAGAATATCCATGACAATTTGATTAAAATTTTATGAATTTTTTAGGAACAATTTAATGCAAATTGTATGAAAATTGACATGAAGCAATGAAAATGTGTTTCAAAAATTCCTTTAAAATTCCCTGAAGATCTACGGATTCCGTGAAAAATGACCATTTTGACAACTCCAAAAAAAATTTAAAGAATAGAAGAGTTCCACCCAAAAATAAAACGAGACAGAAACTCCGCCGAGATCCTCCAGCAGAACCCGGAGCGGGAAGATTCCCTGGGAATTCCTTACCACATCCTAGATTTTCTCCCAATCCTACAGGAAATAATCGGTGGGGCTGGAGTAAACCCTCCTAAAGACTTCCCGGCGGGAGGAGTTGCGGAGGATCCAGCTCTGCAGCGCGCTCCCGTCGCAGGCCTGCACCGTGGGGCCCTGCGAGCCGTCCTCCAGCCTGCCCAGCGTCAGGCAGGACTGCGTGATGATGTGCAGGAACGTGCGCCTCTGGAAAAGCGGGAACGCTCGGCGGGAATAAACCGGGAATGGCTGGCGGAGAACGGGCCGGGAATGCGCCGCGGATGAACCGGGATGGCCGGAGGGAAAGGCTCGTGGGTTGGGATTGAGTGGCACAAAATATCTCCTCCCTGTTCTTGGGAGTGTTCCCGTGATCCAGAGTGGATTATTCTCCCTACCCTTTGATTGCTGCAATTCCCTGCTGGGAACATCCAGGTGGAGATGGGGTTATCCTAGCAGAAATAACCCAAAAGTTCCACCTTGCTCTTGACAGCATTCCCGTGATCCAGAGTGGATTGTGGTTCCCAATCCCATTCTCCCTACCCTTGGACTGCTGCAATTCCCTGCTGGAAAGATCCAAGCAGAGATGGGATTTTCCTAGCAGAAATATCCCAAAAGTTCCACTTTGCTCTGGGGAGCGTTCCCGTGATCCAGCACAGAGTGTGGCTCCCAGTCCTGCCTCTCCAACCCCTCGGATTGCTGCAATTCCCCATTGGAAAGATCCAGGCAGAGATGGGTTTTGTTCTGCACAAATATCCTAAAATTTCCTCCCTGCTCTTGAGAGCATTCCCAAGATCCATCATGGAGCGTGGCTCCAACCCTTTGGATGGCTGTGATCCCCACTGGAAAGATCTGGACACAGCTGAGGTTTTTCCTGCATAAACCACCCTGAACCCCATTTGGGAGTTACCCAATTAAAAACAGAATTAATTAAACATTTATGAGGTGGGTTTTTTCCACAATTCCAGCTTTTCCTTTCCGGTGCCAATTCCAGGTGGGGTGAGATGAAGGGGAGCTTCCACTTCCCTAAATTCTTCCGACTGTCACCCCATCACTGTGGACTGGAGCAGCTGGAATGCTCTTCCCACATCCCTCACCCGCTCTTTTTCCATGATTTTGGCTTGGGAATGGAAAAAGTGACGTGAGGATAAAGGAGGCACTAAAAATACCAGAGCCAAGTGTCCCCAAAATGTCACTTGGAGTCAGGGGCAGGGACAGCAGTGCTGGATCAGCACTCCCTGTTCCCTCTGTCCGTGAACCTTCCAGAGCTCCATCAGTGCAGGACTTGGAATTCTCCCTCTTTGATGTTCACAGGATAGGAAATATCCAAAGGTAGCGGATTCCTCACATGGGGATAAACGTGAACGTGGGAATCTGAGCAGGCTTTTCCTGTACACGGATTCATGGGCTGGTTTGGGATGGAAAGACCTAAAATCCCATCCCAATCCCCCCTGCCATGGGCAGGGACCCCTCCCAGGCTGCTCCAGCCTGGCCTTGGGCACTGCCAGGGATCCAGGGGCAGCCCCAGCTGCTCTGGGAATTCCAGCCCAGCCAGGAATTCCCAATTCCCAACCTCCCACCCATCCCTGCCCTCTGGCAGTGGAGCCATTCCCTGGCTCCTGTCCCTCCATCCCTTGTCCCCAGTCCCTCTCCAGCTCTCCTGGAGCCCTTCAGGCCCTGCCAGGGGCTCTGAGCTCTGCCTGGATCCTTCCCTTCTCCAGGGGAACATTCCCGGGGCTCTGAGCTCTGCCTGGATCCTTCCCTTCTCCAGGGGAACATTCCCGGGGCTCTGAGCTCTGCCTGGATCCTTCCCTTCTCCAGGGGAACATTCCCGGGGCTCTGAGCTCTGCCTGGATCCTTCCCTTGTCCAGGGGAACTTTCCCAGCTCTCCCAGCCTGGCTCAGGGATCAGGAAGCTCTGGAATGTTGGAGCAGCAGCTATGGGGAAGCACCGAGCCAGGGCACTGCTACAGGAGCTATTCCAGGGATTGGGATTTGGCACAGGGATTGCACCAGACTTACCTCAAAGCTATACTCCCATTTCCCAAAATACTGAGGGGAGGGAAGACAGAAGGAAAGCGGAGTCAGTGATCCAAAGAACATTTTTTGTGCAGCCCCTCAGCTCTCCCTGGATGGAAATTCCACAACTTTGCAGGGACACCGCGACTGGGGATGAACAGTGGTAATTATCCAGGAAAAAATCATGGAATTCTGAGCGGGAAGGGATCCACAGGGATCATTGATCCAAGCCCTGGCCCTGCCATGATATCCCAACAATCCCATCCTGTCCCTGGGAGCGTTGTCCAAACGCTCCTGGAGCTCTGGCAGCCTTGGAATAAACCCTGAGGGATCTGTCAGGAGTAAGTCCTGAGGAATTTTTCAGGAATGAAGGCTGACATCACCATCCATCCACGAGAATTCAGCTCCTTCCTATCAGCTCTGACACATTTCCAACTTCATTTTTCCCCTGGGTCCCTTCGTGCGTGTCACGTCCCAGGATCTCATCCCTCTCCACATCCAGAGGTTTCCCCGGATGTCACAACAGGAATCACCAGGCTTGGGAGCCTGGAATTTATTCAATATTCCCATACCATAAATTAAATTAGAAAATGATAAAAATAATAGGATGAAATTGTAGAAAATTCCATGAAAATCCCTCAGAGAAACCCCTTTTTAGGATTATTTCATATCCAGCTGTGGCCCTGTTGTCCATTGCCAAGCCAGAATTGCTAAAAATTCCTAAAAACCACCCCAAATTCCTCCATGCAATGTCTGAATAAGCAGGGAAAGGAAAAATCAGTGTAATTCTATTGGAAAATCAAATTAATGAATACAAGGAATTCAGGAAATATCCTGTAATTGTTTCACTGGCGGGGGGGAAAAATTGGAATATCACAACTGGTTGTTTTCTTGGGAAAAACGTCCTGGATGTTAGGAATGTTTGGGGGTTAATAATACACTAAGAAATATATAATAATGGCAATAATGAAATGAAAGGGAAAATGTGCAGCTGAAACCTGAATATTCCAGGGAAAATTGGCAATAAAAAGCTTCACTCAATAAATCCAGGGACAGGGAATGCACTGGGATGTTTTCCAGGAGAACATGCAGCCAAGCCTTGGAGATGCCATAAAAACACGGAGTATTCCTGTTTTAGGAGCTCCATCTCATGGCCGTGCTGAGCTTTACACAATTCCTGGGAAATTCTGCTCAATTTAAGGGAAAAACCAGCACATTCCCCGTGTGTATTTTATTGGAAGAATTCCAACCTTCCGGGCAGGAAGGGTGGAGGTGCCCGAGGAATTCCTGGATTGGCTGGGTTGGGGATAAGGTGGAGATGGGGCAGAGCTTGGAGCTGATGACCTGGGAGGGTTTTTCCAGCCTCAGGGTGGAACCAGCAGGAATTTCCCCATGGAAAGGGGCTCAGGGATTGGAATTTCCCAGGGAGGTTTGGGGTGCCCATCCCTGGAGGTGTCCCAGGAATTCTGGAGGTGGCACTCAATGTGAATGGAAATCCCAGTGGGAATTAAATAGTAAATTGAGATGGAAACACAGAATTGGGCAAATCCCAGGAGGATTTCCTTGGAACTGGAACCTCTGTGTGTGTTCCAGCAGCAGGAATTTCCCCATGGAAAGGGGCTCAGGGATTGGCACTGCCCAGGGAGGGTTGGAGTGCCCATCCCTGGAGGTGTCCCAGGAATTCTGGAGGTGGCACTCAGGGCTCTGGGTGGGGACAGGGTGGGCATCGGGCACTGCTGGGACTTTGGGACCTTGGAGCTCTTTTCCAACCTCATTTCTGGGATCCTGAGCACCAGAATCCCAAGGCTTTTCCCAGAAGGGAATATCCATCCAATCCCACCCCAGCAGCAGAGGTGCCCCAGCCCCTTCTGGCAGGGAACATTTTGTGTTCCCCCACAGCTCCAAACACCTCACACCAACAACAGAAAAGGAGCCCTGAAAGTCCTTAAAATCCCATTTTTTTGCATTTTGGGGGGAAAATTCTTCCTGGCAAGGGTGCTCAGGGAGGTTTGGAGTGCCCGTCCCTGGAGGTGTCCCAGGAATTCTGGAGGTGGCACTCGGGGCTCTGGGTGGGGACAGGGTGGGGGTCAGGCAGAGCTGATGGGACTGGAGGCAAAGGATGGGGCTGGGAGGGATTTTCCAGCCTCAGGGATCCAGGGATTGTCCCAGAAGCACCCCCCAGGCCCGGGATACCTCGGCATCGTACTCCCAGAGCTGGTTGCCCCTCAGGTGGTGGCACTTGAGCATGAGGACGGGGCCGTTGAGCCGCGACACGTCCAGGCACAGGTCGTCCGTGCGGATCTCCTTGTCCGCCGTGTAGGAAAACACCTGGAACACAGAGCGGGGCTGGGAAAGGGCTGGGAACCCCAAACCCGGCCCTGAGAACCCCAAACCCGGCCCTGGGAACCCCAACCCATCCCTGGGAACCCCAACCCCAACCCCAGCCCTGGGAGAGACCCCGGGCTGGCTCAAGATATGGAGCCTGTCCTTGGAGAAATCCACGGGAATTCAAGGGAAGGTTTTCCCCTGGAGAAATCCATGGGAATTGAGGGGAAGGGAAAGGTTTTCCACTGGAGAAATTCATGGGAATTCAGGGGAAGGGAAAGGTTTTCGCTTGGAGAAATCCATGGGAATTCAGAGGAAGGGAAAGGTTTTCCCTTGGAGAAATCCGTGGGAATTCAGGAAAAGGTTTCCCTTGGAAAAATCCATGGGAATTGAGGGGAAGGTTTTCCCCTGGATAAATCCATGGGAATTCAGGGGAAAGGAAAGGTTTTCCCTTGGAGAAATCCACTGGAATTGAGAGAAAGGGAAGGTTTCCCTTGGAGAAATCCATGGGAATTCAGGGGAAGGGAAAGGTTTTCGCTTGGAGAAATCCATGGGAATTCAGAGGAAAGGAAAGGTTTCCCTTGGAGAAATCCATGAAATTCAGGGCAAGGTTTTCCCCTGGAGAAATCCATGGGAATTGAGGGGAAGGGAAAGGTTTTCCCTTGGAGAAATCCATGAAATTCAAGGGAAGGAGAAGGTTTCCCTTGGAGAAATCCATTGGAATTGAGGGAAAGGGAAGGTTTCCATTGGAGAAATCCGTGAGAATTCAGGGGAAGGTTTTCCCCTGGAGAAATCCATGGGAATTGAGGGAAAAGGAAAAGTTTTTCAAGCCAAAAAACAGCAAAATGAGGCCAGGCTCAGGTGAGGATGGAGGAAGTGGCAGGAGGAGGTGGCAGGAGTTGGGATGAACCTCCAGGATAAATCAGGGATGGGAACTCGGAGCATCCCAGCCTTTCCCACCAGGAATGTGGCCAGGAGCAGGTGTCTGGTATACCAGAGCTGCCAGGGAATTGTTACCGTGCCACCCCTGGAAAATTCTACACAGAAATAATGAAAAATTCGAATTCATTAAAATAGAGTTAATTTTAAATATGCTTAAAACTCCCTTAATTAAAATTTACATCCCAAACCCCATCTGGAGCAGCTATGCTAATTTGAATAGCCACTATAATATGCAAATTTTGTTCTAATTAACCCAGAGCCGTTGGTCACAAGCCCAAGAATTCCATCCACTTTTCTTCTCCCATCCAAAAGAAACTCCCCAGGACCCCACTACTGGAATTCCACCGAAGAACTTCCATGAATATCCTGGATATTTATTTTCCCTACACACATTCAGAACAGATGGATCCATTCCATTTTTACAAAAATAAATTCAAATTCCTGATCACATTTCCTAAATGTCTGGAATGTTACATTTATTATTAAATGGCAGCGGGATTCTATTCAATATATTCACTGGGAGACTTTCCATGGATGTGCGCCAATATTCCCCCAAAATCTGGAGCTGAAATTGGACAAAAATGGCTGAGTCCTCTTAAAATCCTCCAGCTCAAAATCGAAAATATTTTGGAATTTTCATTGATTATCTGGATATTACTTTCACACAAAACCTAAAATAGAATTGGAACAGATATTTAAAACATTCCAAAGGAATTCTTGGACAAATAAGCCACTTTTCCCTGTTTTTATTTACCTGGTTCCCTCCCATGCCGTGGCAGTTGAAAAATCCCACTTTTTCATTCTCCTTGCGGCCCATGTTGTCCAAGCACTGGTTGGTTTCAACATTCCTGATCTGGAGAAAGGAAAAAGGTGAAATATTCCTTAAAACATTCCCTGGACCTGCCAGATTGGTGCAGAAAACTGCAATTTGTGAACAGATCACATTCCCAAATTGTCAGGGAAGGGTCTGGGTTGGAATTGGTACCAAAGCTCATCCGTGGCCACCTCTCACTATTCCATGTCAAGCCATGAGGGAATTCAGGATGATTATCCCAGATCTGCCAGAATCTCCATCCTTTTTCTCCCTGTTTGTCCCAGAAAACAACAAAATATCCACTTGGGAAATGCACTTTGGGGTGCTGCCCACCTTTGATTGGCACCATTTTTCCTTGGATTTGAGCCCAGGAGGAGCCATCCAGAGCAGGACATGGATCATTTATGGCCTAATGATGCTGCTCCAGCTTGGATGGATCAAATCCTGCCCAAATCTCTTCAGAAAGGCAGGGAAATGTCCCAAAAATGCACTTCCAATGTCTTAACAATTCCCCATTTCTCTGCTGCTCCTGGGTTTTGAGGCTGCAATTCCCTTTTCCTGCTCCACTGGCACAGCCAAGCCGGGCTTTAATTCCCAGCTCCTGCCTGAGCTGCAGTTTCCATGGGAACTGAGGCCACACTGCACAAATCAGGTGTTTCAATTGCTTTTTTCTGCCTTTCTCATCCCATTTTCCAGCCTGACAACGTGGCACAATCCCATTTTATTTGACATTCCCTAGACAAGTCCTCTCCTTGCTGGAAACCCCCAATTTCCCTTTATTTTGGCAGGATTAAACCTGGAATCCTCCAGTGCCTTTCATTCCTGCCTACAATGGCAAATTTCAGTGGGAAATCACTTCCCTGCATGTCAAAAAAAGCCATTTGTTCCTCAGAGTGTTGTTCCAGGGTTTTTATTCCATCGTCAAATCCTGTGATTGTTATTCCATCACCATCAAATCAATCCATTCCAGAGCTTTTAAAAGGCAGTGTAGGAACGACTCAATGTAATATTTTTTAACTGTGAATTTGTTGAATTTCAAAGAAATTCCAGCTCCTGGAGGTCCCAGAACCTTGTGATTACCAGGAACGCCCTTGACCCTCAGCTCCAGGCTGGAAACACTCAGTGAACAAACATTTCTCTAAAGAAAAATCCAAGAAAAGCCATTTCTAGTCTCTTTCTAAGCAATAAATGATGATGGAAGGTTCCCCTCAAGGGCTGCATATTCATCATGTCAAAATATTAATCCCAAACTTCACTCTTCCAATCTCCTGCTCCACTTGGGAGATAAATTTAGCTGGTGAACACGTGGAATAGACACTCGATTTAAAGGGAGATTTTTAAGGAGAGGGAATCTGTTTGGAACAGCAAATTCTTCTTGAAAAGGACTTTTAAAAAAAACAGAAATAAAGAGAAATAAAAAATCAAGAAGAATAAGGGACAAGAAAGGATCTCCAGCACCTGAGTCCTGGCTCCAAAGCCACCTCATCCCCTTGGGAATGGATCCATTGGCTCTGGGCACCTCCTGGTTCCCTGTTCTTACTGGTTTGGTTTCTTTCCTTACTGGTTTCACTGCTTTTCTGCACTACTGGTTTCCTTTCCTTACTGGTTTCCTGTACTTCTTGGTGTCCTGGACTGACTGGATTTCTTTACTTGCTGGTTTGTTGCAGTTCCTGGTTTCCTGTAAGATTTGCTTTCCTTTGCTTACTGGTTTCCAATTCTTCCTCGTTTCCTTTATTCCTTGGTTTTCCTGCTTCCCCAGACTTCCTGCTTTGTTGTAGCTACTGGTTTCCAGTTCTTGCTTTACATACTGGTTTGTTGTGCTACTGGTTTCCTGCATGGATTGATTTCCTGCATTCCTGGTTTCCTCTGCTCCTGATTTCCTGCAATTCCTGGTTTCCTCTGCTCCTGGTTTCCTGCAGTTCCTGGTCTGCTTTACTCCCCTGGTTTCCTGCATGGATTGATTTCCTGCAATTCCTGCTTTCCTCTGCTCCTGGTTTCCTGTAATTCCTGGCCTGCTTTACTCCCCTGATTTCCTGCAATTCCCTGTCTGCTTTACTTCCTGGTTTCCTGCAATTCCTGGTCTGCTTTACTCCCCTGGATTCCTGCAACTCCTGGTTTCCTCTGCTCCTGGTTTCCTGCAATTCCTGATCTGCTTTACTCCCTGGTTTCCTGCAATTCCTGGTTTCCTTTACTTTCCCTGCTTTCCCATCTTTCCTGGTTTCCTGCGCTCCCGGCCGCTCCCTTCCCGCGTGCCGCCGTTCCCAGGGCAGGGCAGGGCCGTACCTCTCCCAGGGAGTAGTAGCGCCGCGGGATCTGCGAGTCGGGGTAGACGTTCTCCAGGTACCAGGAGAAGGGTTTGCAGCCAAGCCTCTCCCGCAGGGCTTTCCTGACGGAAACATCTCCATAATCCACCTTCACCACCCCTGCAATGGTGAGAGAAGAGCCCATCAAACATCCCTGTTTGGGGAAAATCCCAGAGCCGCTCCAGCTCCCCTGCAGAGATTTCCTGATGGAAATGTCTCCATGATCCACCTTCACCTCCCCTGGAATGGAAACATCTCCATAATCCACCTTTACCACTCCTGGAATGGAAATGTCTCCATAATCCACCTTCACCACTCCTGATGGAAACATCTCCATAATCCACCTTCACCACTCCTGATGGAAACGTCTCCATAATCCACCTTCACCGCTCCTGATGGAAACATCTCCATAATCCACTTTCACCACTCCTGCAATGGAAACATCTCCATAATCCACCTTCACCACCCTTGGAATGGAAACATCTCCATAATCCACCTTCACCGCTCCTGATGGAAACGTCTCCATAATCCACCTTCACCACCCCTGGAATGGAAACATCTCCATAATCCACCTTCACCACCCTTGGAATGGAAACATCTCCATAATCCACCTTCACCACTCCTGGAATGGAAACACCTCCATAATCCACCTTCACCACCCCTGCAATGGTGAGAGAAGAGCCCATCAAACATCCCTGTTTGGGGAAAATCCCAGAGCCACTCCAGCTCCTCTGCAGGGCTTTCCTGACGGAAACGTCTCCATAATCCACCTTCATCACTCCTGGAATGGAAACATCTCCATAATCCACCTTCACCACCCCTGGAATGGAAACATCTCCACAATCCACCTTCACCACTCCTGGAATGGAAACATCTCCATAATCCACCTTCACCACTCCTGGAATGGAAACATCTCCATAATCCACCTTCACCACTCCTGGAATGGAAACATCTCCATAATCCACCTTCACCACTCCTGGAATGGTGAGAGAAGAGCCCATCAAACATCCCTGTTTGGGGAAAATCCCAGAGCCACCCCCAGCTCCTCTTAATTCCAATCCATGTGCTGGGATTGGGAGCAGCAGGATGTGAGGGGCGAGTGGCTGGCTCTCCATGGAGGTGAGCAAGGAGTAATTAATTAATTAATTAATTAGTTAATTGAGCCAAGTGAAATGCCTGGAAAAACGATCCTATTTCTTTCCTTTATCAATCTGGAAAGGCAGGAGTGCAGAATTCCTCGATTTCTTCATATTCTAAAATAATAAAGGAATTGGGGAAGGGAAGGGAAGGGAAGGGAAGGGAAGGGAAGGGAAGGGAAGGGAAGGGAAGGGAAGGGAAGGGAAGGGAAGGGAAGGGAAGGGAAGGGAAGGGAAGGGAAGGGAAGGGAAGGGAAGGGAAGGGAAGGGAAGGGAAGGGAAGGGAAGGGAAGGGAAGGGAAGGGAAGGGAAGGGAAGGGAAGGGAAGGGAAGGGAAGGGAAGGGAAGGGAAGGGAAGGGAAGGGAAGGGAAGGGAAGGGAAGGGAAGGGAAGGGAAGGGAAGGGAAGGGAAGGGAAGGGAAGGGAAGGGAAGGGAAGGGAAGGGAAGGGAAGGGAAGGAAGGGAAGGGAAGGGAAGGGAAGGGAAGGGAAGGGAAGGGAAGGGAAGGGAAGGGAAGGGAAGGGAAGGGAAGGGAAGGGAAGGGAAGGGAAGGGAAGGGAAGGGAAGGGAAGGGAAGGGAAGGGAAGGGAAGGGAAGGGAAGGGAAGGGAAGGGAAGGGAAGGGAAGGGAAGGAAGAAGGGTGCTGCAAACCAGTGGCTGTGGAGGGAATATTTTGGGCACAGTTTGTGTTCCAGGAGAGAATCCCAATCCCACTTTTTGGCCTCCCACGCAGGCAGAGAACCTTTTTTGCAGCCAGACAATTGTGAGGATTTGCTGTGATTCAGGAGGAAAATCCCCCCCAGTTTCCTCTCCCAGGATCACCTGAACCTCAGCTGACCCCAGCTGGGACAGACCCACACGCAGCAGCTCCTGGATTCCAGATTTACCCATTTCCTTTCTTTCCTAAGAAAGGGGCTTCCTTTAATCCCATCTGAAGCACCTCCAGGATTTCTGGAATTTCTGAGGCTCTCTTGGATGATTTGGCTCGTGAGCTGCAGGCCCTGAGCCAGGCTCTTCCCAAGGAAACCTCCAATTCCTTGGTATTGCAGAGTTACACTAAACCCAAAAGGGGAGTTTTCCTCATTGCTTGGGGATTTTTCTCCTGGTTTTTTAAATCCAGCTTGGATTTATTAAAAACTCTGGCTCCTGATTCATCTCAGCACCAATACAGATTTTCCTGGTAACCACACAAAAACAGGAGAAGGCACCAATTAAAAATACTCTCAAAAGCCCAAAACGAAGAGCTGAGCTCTCCTCCAGCAGAATTCTGTTTTCCCAGGGAACCAGATCTCTCCAGACCTTTAATTTGGGATGTAATTATGAGGTGTGCCCCTCATTATGCTGAGAAGTCTGCTTCCCACTGGGAGCAGCCCCTGGCTCGTCTCTCCCGGGATCTCGGCTGGGGAATGGAATGAATCAGCTCCCAGAGGAGCTGGGGGATGAGGCTGTGCCAGAGAACAGAGCAAATCCCTTTGTTCTCCCAGAGAATTATCCAGACAGCCCCATTTGCCTCATTAATAGGAAGGGAAAAGGATCAAAAAGCAGATAAAAAATATTTAGGAATACTTTTTATATTTAGGAATGCCCTATTAAAAAAAAATATTATTTCCTACTTCTTTTTATGGAGAATTTCCATGAAAATGTTCATTTTGTTTCCCTTTCTCCTCCATTTGCTCCTCAGTGCTGGGGAACAATCTCATTATATTTTACCTATTAATTAATACAGATATTAACAAATAACGTGGGAAAAGATCAGGGAATACAAAGCCTATTCCCAAATTCTTCCACGTGGCTGAAATTTTGGATTACAAAATTGTCAGCGGCAGTGACCTAATTCCACCTTTTCCATGCAATCTAATTTTCTCCAGGGGTTCTCTGTTGGAATTTTGTATCAAATCTTGGGAATGTATAACTGGGAAGAGGAAAGAGCATTTCTAGGAGCACGAAATCCCAGCTGATTTGGGCTCGTTCCAGAAGGGAAAACCAGTTTTTTCTCATGGAAATATAAGTAATAACCACACAATAAATATAAAAAGCAGGCTGGCATTTCATCCTAATTTTTCTGTTTTAAATGAACAGCTTCCTTAAAATTGATGGGACAAAATCCATAAGGGAGAGATCAATAAATATATATTTTTTTTTACACCACGATTGGGTACCATTAAAGTGAGCACAGACTTTTTTAAAATTTAAATTTCCCAGATTTTTAAGGGATTTCCAGGATGGATTAGGAATATTCTATGAGCACATCCTGTGCACCCACAGAAGTGGGATTCCACAAGCAGAATCCCAGAGATTCCTTCCAGCTGGGATTAAGTGCTGGCTCCTGATATCGTGAACCCCTGGAAAAACCAAAGTGCTGGAGCAGCCTGTGGAAAGAGCAGGAATTCAGCTGGAACAGGTGAGGGATAACAGCAGGAAATGGTGCAGGAGAAGAAGCACAAAGCTCCCAGGGATATTATCAATTTCCAGGGAAAACTGAAACTGACTCCGCTGCCACGGAATTCCACTGGGAAGGAAGCTGGGAAAATGGGAAAAAGGGGAAATGGGAAAACGGGAAAATGAGAAAATGATCTCAGAATGAAATCGCAATGACATTTCCACGTGGGGAAGGAAATCCCAGGTGTTCTGTCCAAAGGTCTCCATGCTGGGACCTCTGCTGCCCTTCCCACGGATCCCTTGGGGATTTGGGATCATCTGGGCCACTCCTGACCCTGAGGGGCTGGAGAGGGGCCAGGGAAGGGAACGGAGCTGGGAAGGGGCTGGAGAATTCCTGAGGGAGCTGGGAAGGGGCTGGAGAATTCCTGAGGGAGCTGGGAAGGGGCTGGAGAATCCCTGGTGGAGATGGGAAGGGGCTGAGAATTCCTGAGGGAGCTGGAGAGGGGCTCAGCCTGGAGCAAAGGAGGATCCCCAGGGATCTTTTCCCTCTCTGGAATTCCCTGCCAGGAGGGGACAGCCGGGGGGATTTGGGATCATCCCAGGGAACAGGGACAGGAGCAGAGGGAACGGCCTCAGGCTGGCCCAGGGGAGCTCAGGGTGGATTTTGGGGAAATTCCTTCATGGAAAGGGTGCCCATCCCTGCAGGATTCCAAAGCGGATGTGGCACTTGAGGACATGGGGCAGCGCTGGGAATGGTTGGACTCAAAGATCTCAGAGAACTTCTCCAACCCAAACAACTCCACAACCCCTCCCATTCCCAGCTCCCCGTTTCCAGGCAGAGTTCCGCACCACGGGACGATCCCATATAAAATCCGTTTATCCCAAACAAATCGGGGCGCACCGGGAGAGATGATGTAGAAGAAATCCTTGAAGTCGTCCATCCAGACCTCGGCCAGCCGCCGGTTGTTCTTGTTGATGACGTGGCCGGTGCCCCCCGGGAAGGTGTAGGGGGTGGCCTTGCGGAAGACGTGTCCCACGTGGGAGCAGGTGACGATCTCCAGGGAGCCTCCACACTGCCAGATCTGCAACGGGAACATGGGGAACGTGCAGGAATCCAGCCCCAAACGTCCCCCTCTGCGTCCTCACCCGCCCGGCTCAGCCGGGATCTCAAGGGAAAATTCAGGGATTCGGCCCTGGGTGGCAACAAACGTGGGGATGAAGTGGGTGGGGTTTGGGTCTCCTGGGTGAGCAGCAGCCCAAATCCAGTCGGGAATGCTTGGGAAGAGTTGAGTGGGAAAAAAAACTTTTTAAAGGACACTCTGGAATTTACAGGACATTTGAGCATGCAGGAATTCTATGGAAAACAACTAGAAAAAGAGAATTTTAACTGGATTTCCCTGCTCTTGCCCAAAACACATGGAGCTTGGGCCCAGCCACACTCCAGGGAGGAATAAAGAAAATTTTGACTGAATTTTTCTTGCTTTTCCCCAAAATCCACAGAGCTCAGGCCCAGCCACACTTCAGGCTCGCTCCCATTTCCATGGATTATTTCAGGGGAATTGTGAGGGTAAAGTGGGTGGGGTTTGGGTCTCCTGAGTGAGCAGCAGCTCAAATCCAGTCGGGAATGCTTGGGAGGAGTTGAATGGGAATAAAAATGACTTTTTAAAGGACACTGTGGAATTTACAGCACATTTCACTGCCTCACACATTACACCACACAGGAATTCTATGGAAAACAACTAGAAAAGGAGAATTTTAAACTGGATTTCCCTGCTCTTCCCCAAAACCCATGGAGCTCAGGCCCAGCCACACTCCAGGGAGGAATAAAGACAATTTTGACTGGATTTTTCCTGTTCTTCCCCAAAATCCATGGAGCTCAGTCTCAGCCACATGCCAAGGAGCAATAAAGACAATTTTAACTGTTAATATTTTAACTGTTAACATTTTGACAATTATTTATCTTAATTATTTTAATTATCTACTTCTAATATTTTAGTTCAGTTTTAAAATTTCAGTTATTTATTTCAGGTTTTTTATTTCAATTATTTTACTTTCAGGCCCCATCAAAAGAGGCCTGGAAGTAAAGTAATTGTGATAAAATTAAAACTTAAAATTGTGACTAAAATTGTAATTTTATTGCAATTATTTTAATTGTAAAACCTGGTGTTAAATCCCTGAGTTTTTGGGGAGTTTTAAACAGGAGCTCTGGTGGAATCTTGGAATTAAAGCTCCTTGACACAGACCTGAGTTCCCATGGCAACCAAGGCAGATTTAGTTAATTAGGGCTCCCTCCATTTCCAGAATTCCAGGAGAATGAGGAGGGACGGGATCTGTGGGATCAGCAGTGAAACATTCCTGTGTTTCTGCTCAGGGACTCGGGGGGAATGTCGGGATCAGGGGTGCCAAGGAATTCCAGAGGGAACACGGGAAAACCCCAAAAATACGCCAGGGATGTGCCCATGGAGCAACCTGGGAGCATGGAATAACTCTAAATAACACCATGGAATAACCCCAAATAGCTCCATGGAATAATCCCAATTAATTCAATGGAATAATCCAAATTCAATGGAATAATCCCAAATAACTCCAGGGAATAACCACAAATAACTCCATGGAATAACCCCAAATAGCTCTATGGAATAACCCCAAATATACTCCAGGGAATAAATCCAAATATACTCCATGGATGTGCTCATGGAGCAACCTGGGAGCATGGAATAACCCCAAATAATTCCATGGACTAACCCCAAATATGCACCAGGGATGTGTTCATGAAGAAATCTGGGAATAACCCCAAATACACCAGGCAATAAATCCCAAATATTCACAGGGACATGCTCGTGGAGCAATCTGGGAGTAACAGGACGCACCAGGAAGGAGGAGACACAATTTGAGGCCCCTCCATCCTAAATCCCAGCGTTCCCCTGCTGGTTTCCCATTCCAGGTGGCAGGAAATTCCTCCCACACCACCATTGTTAAAAACCTCTGCTCCTGGACACTTTTCCAGCCCATTTTTGGCTCTTCTTGGAGCAATCTGCTCCCTGGGCCAGCTGGGATGGGATGTGGGGGAACCGCCACCCTCTTCTAAGAAAAGGAATTTTCCAAAAGCTTTTTAAAGTCCCAAACAAATCAACTTTCTGGGACACTCCCTGGGAATGTGACTGCTTCCCGAAAGTTCCCATCATGGCTCAGAACTGGGGGTTTCAGGGATCTGATCCCTCCCAGACTATGGAATGCATCCATCCCTCGCTGTTGGGATGCTGGGGAGTCAGGGAATTCTGGAATGGTTTGGGAAGGGCTTTCAACCCCATCCAACTCCATCCAGGGACACTTTCCACCATCCCAGGCTGCTCCAGCCTGGCCTGGGACACTGCCAGGGATCCCGGGGCTTCTCTGGGAATTCCAGCCCAGCCAGGAATTCCCAGTTCCCAATCTCCCACCCATCCCTGCCCTCTGGCAGTGGGAGCCATTCCCTGGCTCCTGTCCCTCCATCCCTTGTCCCCAGTCCCTCTCCAGCTCTCCTGGAGCCCTTCAGGCCCTGCCAGGGGCTCTGAGCTCTGCCTGGATCCTTCCCTTCTCCAGGGGAACATTCCCGGGGCTCTGAGCTCTGCCTGGATCCTTCCCTTCTCCAGGGGAACATTCCCGGGGCTCTGAGCTCTGCCTGGATCCTTCCCTTCTCCAGGGGAACATTCCCGGGGCTCTGAGCTCTGCCTGGATCCTTCCCTTCTCCAGGGGAACATTCCCAGCTCTCCCAGCCTGGCTCCAGAGCCAAGATCCTGATTTAAGGATTTAACCCTTCCTGTTCCCTACCTTTTCCCATCACAATTCCCACAACAGCCAAGCAGGATCAGAACGACTCCAGTGTCCCATCCCTGAGGAAATCCCCCTTTTCCCTGTCCTTTCTGCACTTCCAGCTGTGCCAGAAATCCCAAATAAACCCCATCCTATCCCGCTCAGAGCTCACATTCCCTTTCCCAGCCCTGCCTGGATTATCCTTAGGAACAATCTCATAGGAATTCTTTTTTCTGATGTACAGGTCATTTTTGATTCCCTTTCCAAAGCCATAGGAAATCCTTTCATCAGTTTTTCAGGGCATTCTCCAAGTGGGATAAAACCACTTGGAGAATTTACCAGGAAAAAAAAAAAACAGTAATTATCTAAATAAAAATAAAGTTTAGGAATAAATCAGGTTTTCATTGACTAACCCTTGGAGCTGTAAGGGATTCTTGCCAGGAATTATCATTAATTTTCCCTAATTAAAAGAAATTCCTAAAAGAAGTCATTAAAGACCCATCAGTAACAAGAAGCAGCTAAAAGAAAAACCATGGATTTTCCCAAAATAATCAAATTATACCCCATGGATTCTCCTCCTGGAAACGCCCCTGAGAGCAAAAAAGCTGGAAATCCTTTTAATTATTCTTTGGGATAATATTGGAGCTGGATGCAGATGAGGCAGACATGATCCAGGGAAAGCTAAGGCACTGGATAACATTTTTGAGGATTCAGGAATTCACAACATATGGGGGGTGGAGGGGGAAGGGCTGGGTTTATTTTAAATTTTGGGATTTCGTTTTTTGGGATTTTTTTGGGGGGGTATTTCATTATTTTGTGCCAGTCCCAGTTCTCCTCCTTCCCTTTGGTGAAGCAATCCTGGATGTGAGAACAGCTCCAGGAACAGCTCCCTGTGCCTCACCCCAATCCCAGGCAGGAGCTGCCCCCAGAAATATTCCAGGAAATATTCCCAAATCCCACTGGGCAGCTCTGGAGCTGCAGGAATCCTGATCCCTCAGCTCCCCATGGATTTATTCCCTCATCAGCTGAGATTTCAACCCTTTGATGTCCCTGCTAAAGTCACACAAAATATCCCTGGATTTCCAGTTGGTTTTCCTTCCAGAGCCTCCAATCAATCCCAAAAACATCACCAGGGGATTCCCTGGCCTCCCCATGGCAATATCTCCATTTATTCTATCCCTGACCCCATTAATTCACTGGTTTGGGGTGGGAAAGGCACTTTTGGAATGCTTAAACCGTGCCTGGCACTCCCTGCTCCAGGGATCTCCTGCAGAACATGGAAAACCACAGGAAAAAATTCCTGCACAGGGGCCTTGGCACACCCCAGCAGGAATTTTAGGGGTTAAAGCAGCAAAAAAATGTGGGAATTTCCTCATTGGAGGCATCCAGGTTCAGGAGGGGAACTGAACATTTTGATTTTCCTCCAAAGAGAACAATTAAAGTTCAGAGGAACGGCCTGGAAAAGCTTCCAAACTCCCAGCTGATCTTCCCTGGGAAAAATCTGTTCCTTAAAAAACTTCAGAGGCAAGGAAAACAGTCCTGGTGGAATGGAAAAGACAGGAAAAATGGGAATGGGCATTCCCAGGATGGGCTGTGGGCACCAGAGGGATCCTGGGGGTTATTCCCATCCCTAAATCCAGAAACTGGGACACATCAGAGGAGTCCAAAGCCATTCCCAACCATTCCTCATTTCCCACTTTTCCATCCCAAGGGCAGGGACTGGATGTGTTTCCCTCAGAGCTGTGGCTCACCCCTATCCCAGCAGGAATATCAGCATTTTCTGCAGGACACGGAATTTCCCTGCCACAGACCCAGAATTCCAGCCGGAACGTGCAAGTCCATGATGTCACCATTCCCAAAGTGTCTTAAAACTGATTTTTTAATCTTATCTTTTAATAAATTCATATCAAATTCCCACTGGGCACCTCGTTTCTTCCATGAAGGAATGACTAAAATATATGGAATTTTGGGGGGATAAAACCCCACAAAATTATAAAATATTAAATATTTAACATTAGAGTATTCCATGTGGCAAAAATTTAAAATATGTATTATTAAAATGTTATTAATATTAATATTACTAGTATTTTAATATTTATCTAATATTAAAATATTCCATGCAGCAAAACACCCAACGAGGTTTCCCCAAATTATAAAAATTCCATTTATCTCATGACTTGCAGGCCAGCTAAAGTAGGAGCTCCCTAAAGAAGCACAAATGGGGAATTTTTTTTTTTTTTGAGGAAAAGAAAAGGAAGGAAAACAGGAATTACCCTAAAGGACATTTCAAGATTCTCGCCACCCCAGATATCCATTCCTGCATCGTAAGTTCCTATCTCTTCAAAGTAGCTCCTGTCAATAGAAAACAGGCCACCAGCCATAGTTGGGGTCCTGGGTGGAAAACAAACAGGAAAAAACAAAGGGAAACAGAAAAGAAAAAAAAAAAAAGGGAGAAAGGAAAGAAAAAAAAAAAAGAAAAAAAGAAAAAAGACCTTTTAAAGGACACTCTGGAATTTACAGCACATTTCACCACACAGGAATTCTATGGAAAACAACTAGAAAAGGAGAATTTTTATGGAATGTTCCCTGCTCTTCCCCAAAATCCACAGAGCTCAGGCCCAGCCACACCCCAAGGAAAAATAAAGACAATTTTAACTGGATTTTTCCTGCTTTTCCCCAAAATCCACGGATCTTAGGCCCAGCCACACTCCAAGGAGCAATAAAGAAAATTTTGACTGGACTTCCCTACTCTTTCCCCAAAATCCACAGAGCTCGGCCCAGCCACACTAAAGGAGGAATAAAGTAAATTTTGACTGGATTTTTCCTGCTTTTTCCCAAAATCCACAGAGCTCAGGCCCAGCCACACTCCAGGCTCGCTCCCACTTCCATGGATTATTTCAGGGGAATTGTGAGGGTAAAGTGGGTGGGGTTTGGGTGTCCTGAGTGAGCAGCAGCTCAAATCCAGTCGGGAATGCTTGGGAGGAGTTGAATGGGAATAAAAATGACTTTTTAAAGGACACTGTGGAATTTACAGCACATTTCACCACACAGGAAAACAAAGAGGAGCTATGAAAAGAGAGTTTTAACTGGATTTCCCCGCTCTTCCCAAAACCCATGGAGCTCAGGCCCAGCCACACTCCAGGGAGGAATAAAGACGATTTTAACTGGATTTTCTTTTCCTGGATTTTTCTCCAAAATCCATGGAGTGACCCTTGGGAGGAAACTCTGGGGCTGCTCAAGGGCTGGAGCCCCTCTGGAGCCAGGCTGGGAGAGCTGGGAATGTTCCCCTGGAGAAGGGAAGGATCCAGGCAGAGCTCAGAGCCCCTGGGAATGTTCCCCTGGAGAAGGGAAGGATCCAGGCAGAGCTCAGAGCCCCGGGAATGTTCCCCTGGAGAAGGGAAGGATCCAGGCAGAGCTCAGAGCCCCGGGAATGTTCCCCTGGAGAAGGGAAGGATCCAGGCAGAGCTTGGATGATGGATGATGGATGGATGGATGGATGGATGGATGATGGATGGATGGATGATGGATGGATGGATGGATGGATGGATGGATGGATGGATGATGCATGGATTATGGATGGATGATGGATGGTGGATGGGTGATGGCTGGATGGATGATGGGAATAAACCCCAAATCCTGGGAATAAACCCCAAATCCGCCCATCGCCAATTCCAGCCTTGCCAGGACAACCAGGGACAGAAATGGGAATTTTGAAAGCAATTTTGGAAGGTTTTTCCTGCCCTTCCATCCCTTCCTTGCCTGGGCTGATCCCTGAGCTGCCCTTCCCTCTGCCTGCAGGATTGGAATTCTTTCCCCTTCCCAGATTTAAATCCATTCCATCCACTCGGGAACCCTTTTTTGGTCTCTTTTGGAATTTTGCAGGAAGCCCCAGCAGCTGTTGGAGCTGAGCAGACATGGCCATGGCCAGGAATTTATTCTATTTTTTCCCTTTTCAGTTTCATTTCCAATTCTGGAAGAGGTTTTGTTCCACTCTGTAATTCCAGCAATTAAATGGAAGAGGTCAGGGCACACCCTTGGATCATTTTTCCCTCAGGGTGCTCCGTTATCAATCCCATTTTCCAAGCAATAAACCAGGAATTTAAGTGCAAACCACTGGGGTTCAAAGCTCAAAAATGCTCAGAAATCCTTTGGAATATTTGCCTTAAATTAAAAAAAAAAAAAAAAAAGGGAATAAAACTCCATTTGCAACAAATTTACAGAGGGAGCTGAAGAGGCAGAAATCCCTGGAATTCCTGAACATCGGGAAGAGGATGGGATGGGGTTGAGTGAAAATTGCAAGTTTCAAAGCCCAAAAATGTTCAGAAATCCTTTGGAATATTTGCCTTAAATTAAAGAAAATAGGAATAAAAATCAATTTGCAGCAAATTAACAGAGGGATCTGAAGAGGCAGAAATCTTTGGAATTCCTGAACATTGGGAAGAGGATGGGATGGGGTTAAGTGCAAATCTCTGGGGTTCAAAGCTCAAAAATGCTCAGAAATCCTTTGGAATATCTGCCTTAAATCCCAAGAAAACAGGAATAAAAATCCATTAACAGAGGCATCTGAAGAGGCAGAAATCTTTGGAATCCCTAAATCCCTGGAATCCCTAAATCTCTGGAATCCCTAGATTTTTGTAATCCCTTAATGGCTGGAATCCCTAAATCCCTGGAATCCCTAAATCCCTGGAATCCCTAAATGGCTGGAATCCCTGAATGTCTGGAATCCCTAAATCTTTGTAATCCCTAAATCCCTGGAATCCCTAAATCTTTGTAATCCCTAAATCTCTGGCATCCCTAAATCCCTGGAATCCTTTAATCCCTGGAATCCCTAAATCTTTGTAATCCCTAAATCCCTGGAATCCTTAAATCCCTGGAATCCCTAAATCTTTGTAATCCCTAAATCCCTGGAATCCCTAAATCTTTGTAATCCCTAAATTTTTGTAATCCCTAAATCCCTGGAATCCCTAAATCCCTGTAATCCCTAAATCCCTGGAATCCCTAAATCTTTGTAATCCCTAAATGGCTGGAATCCCTAAATCCCTGGAATCCCTAAATCCCTGGAATCCATTGGGAAGAGGACGGGACGGGGTTGGCCCAACGTTGCGGCACCAAGGTCGCGCCAGGATTTCTCCGCGATTCCGCCTCCGATCCTGCAGCGGAATTTTGGGATCAGGGGGGATTTTTGGGAAGGGAGGGCACTGACCTGACGGGCAGGGTCCTGTCCCCCTTCCTGCGCTCCATCTCCCGCTGGGGCACGGGGTACCAGCGGAAATTCAACTTCCAGTTGAAGCCGCCGTAGGTCATGTCCGAGCCCGCCATGTACTCGAAGGTGTCGTCGCTGATGACGTCGATGATGGGGCACACCACGGTTTTCCTGGGGGAAAAAATGGGAATTTGGGGGTTATTGGGGTGTTTGGGCATGGTGGGAGGTGGAGGGGAAGGAGGAGATTAGGGGGGAATAAAATGAGGGAGAAGGGGAAAAAGAGGGGGAAAAAAGGAGGGGGAAAAGAGAAGGGAAATGTGGGAAAGGAGGAGGAAAAAAGAGGGGAAAAGGGGGAGAAAATAAGGAAAAGAGGGGGGAAAAGGAGGGGAGAAAAAGGGGAGAATAAAATGAGGGAGAAGGGGAAAAGAGGGAAAAAAGGGGGAAAATAGGGGGGGAAGAGAAGGGAAAAGATGGGAAAGGGGGAGGAAAGGGGGAAGGAAAGGGGGAGAAAAGAGGGGAGAAAAAGGGGGGAATAAAATGAGGGAGAAGGGGAAAAAAAGGGGGAAATGGGGGGAAAGAGAAGGGAAAAAATGGGAAAGGGGGAGGAAAGGGGGAAGGAAAGGGGGAGAAAAGGGGGGAAAAGGAGGGGAGAAAAAGGGGCGGATAAAATGAGGGAGAAGGGGAAAAAAGGGGGGAAATAGGAGGGGGAAAAGAGAAGGGAAAAGGTGGGAAAGGAGGAGGAAAAGCGAGGGGAAAAGGGGGAGAAAAGAAGGAAAAGAGGGGGGAAAAGGAGGGGAGAAAAAGGGGAGAATAAAATGAGGGAGAAAAGGAAAAGAGGGGAAAAAAGGGGGAAAATAGGGGGGGAAAGAGAAGGGAAAATATGGGAAAGGGGGAGGAAAGGGGGAGAAAAGGGGGAAAATGAGGGGAGAAAAAGGGGGGAATAAAATGAGGGAGAAGGGGAAAAAGAGGGGGAAAAAAGGAGGGGAAAGAGAGGGGAAAGGTGGGAAAGGAGGAGTTAAAGGAAGGGGTAAAGGGGGAGAAAAGAAGGAAAAGAGGAGGGAAAAGGAGGGGAGAAAGGGGAGAATAAAATGAGGGAGAAAAGGAAAAGAGGGAAAAAAGGGGAAAATAGGGGGGAAAGAGAAGGGAAAATATGGGAAAGGGGGAGGAAAGGGGGAGAAAGGGGGGGGAAAAGGAGGGGAGAAAAAGGGGGGAATAAAATGAGGGAGAAGGGGAAAAAAGGGGGAAATAGGAGAGGGAAAAGAGAAGGGAAAAGGTGGGAAAGGAGGAGGAAAAGAGAGGGGAAAAGGGGGAGAAAATAAGGAAAAGAGGGGGGAAAGGAGGGGAGAAAAAGGGGGGAATAAAATGAGGGAGAAAAGGAAAAGAGAGGAAAAAAGGGGGGAAATAGGGGGGAAAGAGAAGGGAAAATATGGGAAAGGGGGAGGAAAAGGGGAAGGAAAGGGGGAGAAAAGGGGGGAAAAGGGGGAGAAAAGGGGGGAATAAAATGAGGGAGAAGGGGAAAAAAAGGGGAAAATAGGAGGGGGAAAAGAGAAGGGGAAAGGTGGGAAAGGGGGAGGGATGGAAAAAGAAGGGAAAAGGTGGAGAAAATAAGGAAAAGAGGGTGGAAAAGGAGGGGAGAAAAAGGGGAGAATAAAATGAGGGAGAAGGGGAAAAGAGGGAAAAAAGGGGGAAATATAGGGGGGGATAGGGGGAAGAATGGGAGGAAAAGGGAGGAAAAGGAAGAAAAGGAGGGGGGGAAAGGGACAAAAAGAGGGGAATAAACTGAGGGAGAAAGGGAAAAGAAGGGGAAGGAAGAAGGGGAAGAAAGGAGGAAAATAGGAGGGGGGAAAAGGGAAAGGGGGGGAAGGAGAGGGAAAACAGAGTAAAGGTAGGGGAAGGGGGAAAAAAAGGGGAAAAGGGGAGAAAAAGGAAGAAAAAGGGAGAAGGGGGAAAGGGAGGAAAGGGGAGGAAGAAGGGGAAGAAGGGAAAGGGAGGAAAAGGGAGAAAAGGAAAAGGAGAATAATGGGGGAAATCGGGGGAAGATGGAAATGGAGGGAAAGACAGAATGGGAAAAAGAGGGGGAAAACAGGGAAGGAGGGAAAAGGGAGGAAAAGAGGGGAAAGAGGCAAAAAAAAATGGGAAAAGGGTAAAAAAAAGGGAAAGCAAGAAAAGAGAAGGAACAAAAAGGGTGCAAATTTCCATAAGTTCAGGGGGTCAAAGAGAGAAATTGTTCCTGGTAAAAACCAGGGAGAAAGCTTCCTTTGGATGGGAGAGATCCAGACCTTGGGAAAACTGCTCCCAATATTTATTCAGGAGTGAGATTTTGATACAAACAGCAGCAAATTCCAAAAAAATATTTAAAACCTCCTGATTCCAGCTCAATGAATCCTTTGAATCCCTATTTTTCAGCAGCCAGGGAAGGGGCTGGGGCAGCCCCCTGCCTCTGGAGCTGGGAATTCCTTACCTGTCCTCCTTGATCCTGGCCAGCAGCGGCTCCAGCCAGCCCAGGGTGCACTCGCAGTGGGCATCCAGGAACGTGATCACCTGGCCCTTGGAAGCTGCAGCCCCTCGGAGCCGTGCCCGGATCAGCCCCGACCTCTGCTCCATCCGCAGGATTCGGATGGGCACCCCCAGTTTCTTCACGTAATTCTCCAGGGAGGCCTTCAAAAACTCTGCCCAGTTTGGGAGGGAATAGAAGGAAAATGGGATTTTTAGGGAGGTTTTGTTCCAAGCTCCCCGCTTGGAGCAGCACCTCATGGGGGTGGGAATGAAGTGGGGTTAAGGTCCCTTCCAAGCCAAACCATTCCCTGATTCCAGGATAATAGCCCAGGAATTTTAAATAAAGCACAATCAGTTCCTTGGAACAAACCAGCAACCACAAAACAAAATAAAGGCACTTTGGGCAGTTTGCTGTTTGTTCAATCAAAAACAACAAATAAAAGGCTTTTTTTGATGGATTTCCCCATTGGAGCTCTTTGCATGCTTTTAGGAAAAATGGGAATGACTTGGCTCAAATCCTCCTCCACCTTCTGGCACAGGGAATCATTAATCCACTTAATGAGCAGGGAAATTCAGGGAGTAATTAGGGTTCAATTAATGCTCCATGGGCAGAACTGAAGGATGGAGTGGCCGCAGGGTTGAGTTTGCCATCGGCCCCCATTGGGTGCTCCAGGATCCTTCCTCATTCCATTGATTCCATGTAAGGAACTTGATGGGATTCCTTTTCCTGGGAGTCCCAGTTCCACAGGCAGAGTTTGTTTTTAAAGTCTGGGGTCAAAGCAGAAATGAAAAGGCAAAAAAAAAAAAAAAAAAAAGAAAAAAAACGAAGAATGAAGGGAACGAAGCACAAAGAAGAGCAAAAAAGGCAGAGTTGGAATGAGATGGACCCTTCCAACCTAAACCGTTCTGGAATTCCATGGAAATGCCTTAGTGAGGGTATTCAGGAAATGGAATAACATGGAATGAGGAGGGTGGGGAGAGAGGAAGGGAAGGACTGACCTCTCCAGGAATGTCAGGTTTACTGAGGTGGATCTGATCCAGGGCCTGAAGGGCTCCAGGAGAGCTGCAGAGGGACTGGGGACAAGGGATGGAGGGACAGGAGCCAGGGAATGGCTCCCACTGCCAGAGGGCAGGGATGGGTGGGAGATTGGGAATTGGGAACTCCTGGCTGGGCTGGAATTCCCAGAGCAAGGATCCCTGGATTTGCCCAAGGCCAGGCTGGACAGCTGGGACGGTGGGAGGTGTCCCTGCCGTGGTGAGGGGTTGGATTTGATGCCTTTTAAAGGTCTCCACCAATCCAAACCATTCCTAGATTCCATGAATTTTTTCCACCCCCCTCTAGAACCCAGCACTGACAGGATGAGCTTGGTGGAAACCACACTCCCACCCCTGCTTGAGGTGCTCTGGGAGGAGGGGAGGGAATTTGGGACGGGAGCTGCTGGGGCTGGGCCAGAGGGATGAGCTTGGTGGAAACCACATTCCCATCCAAGCCTGAGGCTCTCTGGGAGGAGGGGACGGGATTTGGGATGGGATTTGGGATGGGCCCAGCCCCACCTCTCTCGCTGGCATCATCCACCAGGACGATCTCGGCCAGCAGGCGCGGCGGGGAGCGCTCCAGCACGCTGTGGATGGTCCTGAGCAGCGTGCTCCAGGCCTCGTTGTGGAACACGATCACCACGCTGGTGTTGGGCAGCTCCTCCGGGTACACCTTGCTCTTGCACCTGCCCAAAAATACCCAAAAACGCGTGGAGACAAGGCTCAGCCCGAAGGAGAAATGGCCCAGAAGAAATCCACATCCTCCTGGCGTGGAAAAGGGGCCTGGAAGCCACCAGGGCTCTGCTGCCACTCCCAGGGATGGGGGATGGATTGAGGGGACAAAGGGACCAAAATTCCAGCGGCTCTGAGGCTGAGGCAGGATGGAAAAGGGGCCTGGAAGCGACCATGGCACCTCTTCAAGGGGAGGTTCCACATCCAGATGGCTCAGGAGGGTGGGGATGGATTAAAGGGGCAAGGTGGGGATCCAGAGACTGGAATTCCAGATGTTCTGAGAATGAACAGCTGGAGAAGGAGCTGATCTCACAGAACTGGAGATCCAAGACTGGAATTCCAGCTGCTCCAAGGATGACACAGCTGGAGGAGGGGCTGATCTCAGGAGATCCAAGACTGGAATTCCAGCTGCCCCTGGGCTGCCCCTGGATCCCTGGTAGTTCCCAAGGTCAGGTTGGCACCCTGGGACAGTGGGAAGTGTCCCTGCCCATGGCAGGGCCAGGATGGGTGGGATTTCAGCCCCCATCCCACTCCAGTTCCCCCATTCTCAGGATGGGATTCAGCCCCGATTCCCTGGCATTCCCAGCACTTCCAGGGTGGGATTTCAGCCCCATTCCTGGCATTCCCAGGATGGTGTTCAGCTCCCATTCCCGGCATTCCCAGGATGGGATCCATCCCCCATTCCCAGTACTCCCAGGATGGGATCCATCCCCCATTCCCAGCATTCCCAGGATGGGATCTATCCCCCATTCCATCACTCCCAGGATGGGATCCAGCCCCATTCCAGCACTCCCAGGATGGGATCCATCCCCCATTCCCAGCACTCCCAGGATGGGATCCATCCCCCATTCCAGCACTCCCAGGATGGGATCCAGCCCCATTCCTGCCATTCCAGCACTCCCAGAATGGGATCCATCCCCCATCCCAGCACTCCCAGGATGGGATCCAGCCCCATTCCAGCATCCCAGGATGGGATCCAGCCCCATTCCCACCATTCCAGCACTCCCAGGATGGGATCCATCCCCCATTCCCAGCACTCCCAGGATGGGATCCAGCCCCATTCCAGCACTCCCAGGATGGGATCCAGCCCCATTCCGCCATTCCAGCACTCCCAGGATGGGATCCAGCCCCATTCCAGGCACTCCCAGGATGGGGTCCAGCCCCATTCCCGCCATTCCAGCATCCCAGGATGGGATCCAGCCCCATTCCCAGCACTCCCAGGATGGGATCCAGCCCCATTCCCGCCATTCCAGCATCCCAGGACAGCCTCACCCGTCCAGCCGCACGTCGGGCAGGCTGCGGTTCAGCGCGATGCGGTCGCTGGCCAGGAGGTTGAACTGGTTGATCTTGAAGAGCTCCTTCATCTTCTCCTGCTCCTCCCTGGGGATGAGCACGGCCCTGCCCATCTCCCCCGGGCCCTCCTGGCTCCGGGAAATCACGGCTGGAAAACCCAACAGCAAAAGGCGCCTTCAGCACTCAGGAATTGGGTTTATCCTTCGGGAAGCTCCTGGTTGCCCACAAGGAATGCTGGAAATCCAACCCCCATTCTCCCAGATCCTCTGGGAGCTTTTATCCCTCTCTGGATCCAAGACCATCCAGTTTTACTTCAAGATGATTGAACCCTCATGGATTTATTCCCTTTCACTATCCCAGGTTACTCCAACACTTCCGTGGATCCAGGGGCAGCCTCAGCTTCTCCAGGTACCATCCCAAAGCAGCCGGGGCTGTCCCTGGATCCCTGGAATGTCCCAGGCCAGGCTGGATGGGGCTGGGAGCAGCCTGGGACAGTGGGAGGTGTCCCTGCCCATGGAACGGGATTTAAGGTCCGTTTGAACCCCACCCACCCCATTGAATTGTGGTGAAAAATTAAGATTGCCCAACTCTAATAAAGATTTGTAGGGAATTGTATGTTTTTATTGCAGCGCTGGGTGCACACAGGGATTTTTCCTTAAAGGGCATGAGTGCCTCTTGGGGATTCTCCATCTTTTTCATTATCTCTTATTAATTTACACATACATAGGATCTCACAATAGGTTCATATATATTCATTTTGCTGATTTCACGTCACAATTTACAGTTGGCCTTTTGTACAGAGAACTCTCTAATCCTTTTGTCTATTTTTTTTTTGAGGATTTTGGGTTTTTTGGGGTTTTTTGGTCTATTTTTTTGCAGACATCACTTTGTTTTTTTCTTTAGTTTCAGAGTTCAAGGGGCCCTTCTTATCTTTTCACTCTGGGGATTTTATTCTTTTCTCCTTGGCTGGGATGGTTTTACAAGCACAGCAGAGTTAACATAAACAGCATATTTCACACATGTTACCAAGCCACTACGCGGCACGCTTCACCTAAATCCAGATGGATTTTCCACCCCGTTAAATTTTACTCTGTTTCACCATAAAACACAAACTCAGAGCGATAGTAAAAGGGTTTTTAAATCATGGGGGTTTAGGGTTAGAAAGAAAATTAAGCTTAGTAGGCCCTAAAAAAATACCCTGGGTACATGTAGGCCTTGTACCTTGCTAGAACTGCACCTGTGTAGCTAGTACATGATAAATATAATTGTTAGATGTGATGATTGTTTAGTAATTAAATATAATTGCTGTTTAATCATAAGAATAAGCATGAGAAACTGCAGTCAGGGGCTTGAGAAAGATCACGAGAAACTCATGCTTGAATAGAGTCAATGAATACAATAGAACAATATAAATTTAATAATTAATATGTAAGTTTTATAACGATAGAATATCAAATACAGCTCGAGAGCCATGTCGGAGTCAGATTTGGGTCTGCACCCCTGATCCCAGAGCTCTCAATAAAAGCACCTGAATGGAATCATGTCCTGTGATTATTTGTGTTCCTGAGCGCTAACAAGAGACCACCAGAGCAGAATCCCGCAGACTTGGGGTTTCCTGTGCCGTTTTGGGAGCCAAAGAGGATCCAAAGCCCAAAACCCCAGTGGATCCCACAGATTTGGGGTTTCCTATGGTGTTTTGGGCACCAAGGAGGATCCAAACCCCAGAGCCGCGCTGGATCCCACAGATTTGGCATTTCCTGTGGCATTTTGGTCACCAAAGAGGATCCAAACCCCAGAGCTGCGCTGGATCCCACAGATTTGGGGTTTCCTGTGGCGTTTTGGTTGCTAAAGAGGATCCAAACCCCAGAGCCGCGCTGGATCTTGCAGATTTTGGGTTTCCTGTGGCATTTTGGGTGCCAAGGAGGATCCAAACCCCAGAACTATGCTGGATCCCACAGATTTGGGGTTTCCTGTGGCGTTTTGGGCACCAAAGAGGATCCAAACCCCAGAACCGCACTGGATCCTGCAGATTTGGGGTTTCCTGTGGCATTTTGGGAGCCAAGGAGAAACCCAAACCCCAGAGCCGCGCTGGATCCCACAGATTTGGGGTTTCCTATGGCGTTTTGGGAGCCAAAGAGGAGCTGCACTGGATCCCGCAGATTTGGGGTTTCCTGTGCCATTTTGGGCGCCAAGGAGGATCCAAACCTCAGAGCCGCGCTGAATCACGCAGATTTGGGGTTTCCTGTGGTGTTTTGGGTGCCAAAGAGGATCCAAACCCCAGAACCACGCTGGATCCCGCAGATTTGGGGTTTCCTGTGGCGTTTTGGGAACCAAAGAGGATCCAAAGCCCAAAACCCCATTGGATCCCGCAGATTTGGGGTTTCCTGTGGCATTTTGGGAACCAAAGAGGATCCAAACCCCAGAGCCGCGCTGGATCCCGCAGATTTGGGGTTTCCTGTGGTGTTTTGGGCGCCAAAGAGCATCCAAAGCCCAAAACTCCACTGGATCCCGCAGATTTGGGGTTTCCCGTGGCGTTTTGGGACCCAAAGAGGATCCAAAGCCCAAAACCCCACTGGATACCACAGATTTGGGGTTTCCTGTGACATTTTGGGCGCCAAAGAGGAGCTGCACTGGATCCCACAGATTTGGGGTTTCCTGTGGCATTTTGGGCGCCAAAGAGGATCCAAACCCCAGAACCACTCTGGATCTCGCAGATTTGGGGTTTCCTGTGGCGTTTTGGGACCCAAAGAGGATCCAAACCCCAGAACCACTCTGGATCTCGCAGATTTGGGGTTTCCTGTGGCGTTTTGGGAACCAAAGATTATCCAAACCCCAGAACCGTGCTGGGCCCCGCGGAGGCGCCGGCACTCACCCCGCAGCGCGGGCAGCAGCGAGCGCTCCTTGCTGTCCTCGCACTTGTTGCACTCGCTGAAGTAGAGCAGCAGGAACACGTCCAGCAGCAGCCAGAGCAGCGAGGTGGCCAACACCACCCGGCAGTAGCCAAACCTCCTCATGGCCAGGGAGCGCGGCGGCGTCACAGCCCCCGGGCACCGATCCACCGGGCGGGCAGGGAGGAGCAGCCCGCTGCAGGGACGGGAAAAGGGACAGTTCCCATGGATTCATGGATAATCCTCTCATTGAACATTGCTTGACATCAAACAGGCATCTCCCCTAAAATAATGATTTTAGGGTTCTGAAGGTGGCATTTTTATCCTGCCAAAGGATTTCGGACTCGGCCGCGTGAGCACCAAAGATTCCGTGGGCAGCAGTCGCTGATCCAGGGTTTGGGCTCCTGCCTGAATTAGGGAGTTTGGGAAGCAAAGATGAAGGTGAGGCCTCCATACCCAGTTCAACAAAGGGTGGAGCCAGGCTGGGAGAGCTGGGAATGTTCCCCTGGAGAAGGGAAGGATCCAGGCAGAGCTCAGAGCCCCGGGAATGTTCCCCTGGAGAAGGGAAGGATCCAGGCAGAGCTCAGAGCCCCGGGAATGTTCCCCTGGAGAAGGGAAGGATCCAGGCAGAGCTCAGAGCCCCGGGAATGTTCCCCTGGAGAAGGGAAGGATCCAGGCAGAGCTCAGAGCCCCGGGAATGTTCCCCTGGAGAAGGGAAGGATCCAGGCAGAGCTCAGAGCCCCGGGAATGTTCCCCTGGAGAAGGGAAGGATCCAGGCAGAGCTCAGAGCCCCGGGAATGTTCCCCTGGAGAAGGGAAGGATCCAGGCAGAGCTCAGAGCCCCGGGAATGTTCCCCTGGAGAAGGGAAGGATCCAGGCAGAGCTCAGAGCCCCGGGAATGTTCCCCTGGAGAAGGGAAGGATCCAGGCAGAGCTCAGAGCCCCTGGCAGGGCCTGAAGGGCTCCAGGAGAGCTGGAGAGGGACTGGGGACAAGGGATGGAGGGACAGGAGCCAGGGAATGGCTCCCACTGCCAGAGGGCAGGGATGGGTGGGAGATTGGGAATTGGGAATTCCTGGCTGGGCTGGAATTCCCAGAGCAGCTGGGGCTGTCCCTGGATCCCTGGAGGTGTCCCAGGCCAGGTTGGAGCAGCCTGGGACAGTGGGAGGTGGCCCTGGGTGAATGGGATGGGATTTAAAGTCCCTTCCACCCAAACCATCCCACAATCCCAGGCTCTCCCCTGTGGCTGCAGTCAGTAATTAGTGCTGTGTAATTAATGACCCTGCTCACCATCACTGCCTGCATTCCGTGCCCTGACCCCGTGTCCTGCTCCAGCCATGCTCCCACAGAATTCCCTCAGCACTGAGCCACTGGATGATTCTCCAAGTGCCTGGAAAAGAAAAAGAGAAGAAAATCCCATCACTTTTCCATGTTTCCTAAAACATAAACAAATTTCTTATAAATAAAAATCCCTCCTCAGTTTTATCCATATTTTAACTTCCTTATCCTCCCCGCCTCAGCTCTTCATTCCCAAATGGGATATTTCCATTTTCCCTCCCATTTTAATTCATGGTCATCTGAGCCAAAGGCATGGAATAGCTGGAATTATTTAAATAAATTGAATAAATGATTTATTTAATTATTCTTGCAGCATTTCTGCACCGACTCCTCATTAATAACAATTTCCATCTGTCCTAAATATCAACCAATGGCTCTTCCTGCTGAGGGATTCCCAGGACACTGATTTAAAATTCCAGGAATTGCTGTTCCAGGGTAACACAATCCATTTCCACAGCGGTCACAGGGAACAGTTTCATTATAGGAAAAAGAAAATGAGGAAGGAAAAATTAAATTTCCCAGCAAAATTGTGGATGCTCCATCCCGGGAAGTGTCCAAGGCTGGAAAAGCCTGGAGCAATTTGGGACAGGGAAAGATTCCCTGCCCATGGAATTGGATGAGTTTTAAGGTCACTTTTACCCCAAAATATCCCAGGATTCTGTGATTCCATAAAATCCTCCCCTCCAAACCTCCAAAAGGAACAATGTTCCCCAAAAAAAAAGATTTATTTTAACTGAAATTCAGCCTAAAAAGAGGAAGGAAGGAAGAGGAGGAAGGGAAAAATCCTGAGGTTCTGAGCTGCCACTTCCTGGAATAAATCCAATTTTACCTCGTTATTCTGCAGCGAGGCAGAGGGAAATTCCTGCCCCAAACCCTGCAGGGCTAGGAGTGGGAAAAGCAGGATTTGGGATAGGAAACAGGAGGAACCTGAGGAACCTGCCAGCATTTCCTGGAACTGACCCCACACAATGCCGGGGGTGGGGATTATGAGGCTGCAAATCCAAGACAATTCCAGATTCCAATCCTTGATTTGCCTTTTCCCTGGATTAAAAATCTCATTTTTCTGTGGATATAAACCAATTCTTCAGGATTTTCTCCTGTAACCCCCCCAGGCCCTGGTTACCCCCACAGCCAGGCCATGCCCAGAATGACCAATATTGAATTTTTTGAGGCTCAGAGATACAGAATCCATCCCTGCTCCCTGAAAAACCTCTTCATTCCCTTTCCCAACATCCCTGCAAGGTAAAATAAACAAAGATACAATAAAAATCCCAATTTTTGAGCTGTATTTTCCCACCAGTGCTGGAAATTTAATTATTTAGTGAAACTTGGGGTAATTTCTGACTGAAAACGTGGAAATTGCAGCAGCACAGGGTGGGGGGGAAGGAAATTAAAGTGTGTGCAGAAAAAACTCTGCGGAATTTAGGGAATTCCAGACTGGTTTGGATGGGAAGGGATCTTAAATCCCATCCATTCCATCCCTATCCCAGGGTGCCAACCTGGACCTGGGCACTGCCAGGGATCCCGGGCAGTCAGAGCTGCTCTGGGAATTCCAGCCCAGCCAGGAATTCCCAATTCCCAATATCCCACCCATCCCTGCCTGGATCCTTCCCTTCTCCAGGGGAACATTCCCAGGGCTCGGGGCTCTCCAGGGGAACATTCCCAGGGCTTGGGGCTCTCCAGGAGAACATTCCCATCTCCCCCAACCCCTCTGGCCTCACTCCAGGAGGTCACAGCCCCTCATTCCCAAACTGGCACTCGCTCCAAATCCGGCTCAGCAGAGCCCTGAGCTGCTCCTTAATCCTGTGGCTCATCACGGATGAAGTGTCCTAATCCTCGGCAGGACAGGAATAACCTGGGCGTGGAAATTCCCAAAATAAATCCCAAAGAAAATCAGAGGAGCTGTCCAGTTTCTCACAGAGTTGAAATTCCAGAGCCCAGCTGCTTCCCAGGCACTAATTAAATCTTCCCAATTAACATCAGAGCCCTGTGACCTCAGTGTGACCTCACCAAGCTCCAAAACTCCAACTTTTCTTGGAGTCACCTGCGCTCCCAGGAAAACCAAACCTGACCGCCCACATCCAGGTGCTTGGATAAAGGTACAAAATTCAAAATTATTACCAGGAAAGCGTTGTTCCCAGCCTAAATATTCCCATTTGCATGGAGTGAAATAAAGCAGAGATAAATATTTGACCCATCAAAAGTGCTTTTAACCTAAAATCCTAAGGATTTTAAGGATTTAACCCTAAATCCCGAAGGAGGGATTCCCTGAGCTGGGCCTGGCAAAGCTCGGCCTGACCCGAGGGGTGGCACAGGAAATCAGGGAATGTCACATTCCCGACTTTTAACCTAAAATCCCAAGGATTTTAAGGATTTTAAGGATTTTAAGGATTTAACCCTAAATCCCGAAGGAGGAATTTCATGAGCTGGGCCTGGCAAAGCTCAGCCTGACCCAAGGGGTGGCACAGGGAAATCAGGGAATGTCACATTCCCGAGCTTTTAACCTAAAATCCTAAGGATTTTAAGGATTTTAAGGATTTAACCCTAAATCCCGAAGGAGGAATTCCATGAGCTGGGCCTGGAAAAACTCGGCCTGACCTGAGGGGTGGCACAGGGAAATCAGCTCTCACTCTGTGGGATTTCAAAATACAGCAGAAAAAACCCCAATTTTTCCCATGTCCATAAATGTTCAGGCACGTGGAGCTCAATTCTCCCACATTCCCAGGCAAATTTTTCCTTGGATTCACTTGAGGGGTAAAACCCTGTGGAATTTTCTAGCATTAAATTAATAAATAAATAAAGGAGATATTCCAAATTCCTTCTTTCCAGGCAATTCCACTTTTCCTCCATGAGCCACCAGCGGGGTTTGATTCCTGCAAACCCCAAATTCCATGAAACAGAGGAGGAAGGAATTCCATCCCATCCCACACATTCCCACGTTTAAAGCATTCCCAAAAACCAGGAGCTGTTTTTGGAGCAGGTGGGAAGAAGGTGGGAGCAGCCAGAAAATCCCAGAACTGTGTGGGATCGTGCCCCTCCTCCCTTCCGGCATGAATTGGGGGAAAAAAAAGAAAAAAGCAGATTTTTCCCTTAAAAAAAAACCAGCTTTTTACAGCAGAAAAGCACAGATTGACCCAAAAAAACCCAGATTTTTAAACAAGAAAATCACTTTTGTTCGCACAAAAAAAGCAGATTTTTAGACAAGAAAACCACTTTTTTTTTAGCACAAAAAAGCAGGGTTTTACTCAAAAAAAAAAAATAGGTTTTATGCAAGAAAAACAGATTTTTACCCACCAAAAAAAAAAAAAAAAAAGGAGGATTTTACTCAAGAAAATGAGATTTTTGCACACGAAAAGCAGCTTTTTATACCAGTATTTTCCTAACGTGTGGTTTCATCGACAACACAAAACAGCACAAGAGGAAAATTTTAAAAATACCAAAAAAACACATAAAACCCCCTAAATATGACCTCAAACCTCCTAAAAACCCCCTTAAAAACTCAAGTTTTAAGGCCTCATCTCCCCTTCAAAGCCACCAAGAGTTAAAATAATCTTTGCCTCCGTCATTCCCAGCGTGCCTTAATCTCCCGTTAATCTTTCCTCCCCCTTTTCCCAGCGCCCAAGGAAATTCCAGCCCTTTTTTTCCCACAAAAAACAGCTTTTACCGGTTATTTTCTCTTTATCCATTCAGACTGATTCAATTTCTGATGAAAAAATGGAAAATAAACTCGATTTTCTGCCAGCTCGGAAGGGGATGTTCCCTGGTTCCGGGGAAAGCAGCTGGCATCCCAACTTTAGGATTTTCTGGGAAAATCCCACATTTTACCAGCCCAGCCAAATCCCATTCCCAGCAGCGTGGGATGTTTCTATCCTTATTTCCACGTGGGAGGAATTTAAGTGGAATTTAAATGGAATTTAAGTGGAATTATCCCGGTGCATCACTGGGAAAAACCACCGGGAAAAAATGGGAAGCAGCGAGGCTGAGGTGATTCCAGGGAATCCTGGCGGTCCTAAACACAATTCCAGGGAATCCTGATGGTCCCAAACCCAATTCCAGGGAATCCTGACAGTCCTAAACATCATTCCAGGGAATCCTGATGGTCCCAAACCCAATTCCAGGGAATCCTGATGGTCCTAAACACTATTCCAGGAAATCCTGACTGTCCCAAACCCAATTCCAGGGAATCCTACAGCTGAAATCCACAGTTCTAAGCGCTATTCCAGGGAAACCTGACAGCCCAAAGCAGAATTCCAGGGAATCCTGGCAGCCCAAAGCAGAATTCCAGGGAATCCTGGCAGCCCAAAGCCCAAAGCAGAATTCCAGGGAATCCTGACAGCCCAAAGCCCAAAGCAGAATTCCAGGGAATGCTGGCAGCCCAAAGCAGAATTCCAGGGAATCCTGACAGCCCAAAGCCCAAAGCAGAATTCCAGGGAATGCTGGCAGCCCAAAGCAGAATTCCAGGGAATCCTGACAGCCCAAAGCCCAAAGCAGAATTCCAGGGAATCCTGACAGCCCAAAGCAGAATTCCAGGGAATCCTGGCAGCCCAAAGCAGAATTCCAGGGAAGCCCAGGGCTGAAATCCAGAACCCCAGCCGTTATTCCCGGGAATAACGGGAATTCTCAGCACTGCTCCAGGAAAACCAGAGGATGAAGGATAACGCTCCATACCCGGCAGCCTCGGCGCGGTTTTCCAGGGAATTTTGGATCCTCCCGGCGGAGTTTCCCGGGGCAGCTCCGAGCGGGTCCGGCCGGGCCGGGTCAGGGCCGGTCACGCATCGCCCGCACGGCTGAGCCCGGATTAGGCAAAGCTCCGGAAAGCCGGGATGGGCTGGGAGGGATCCCGGGATAACGGAGCCGGGATGGGCCGGGAGGGATCCCGGGATAACGGGGCCGGGATGGGCTGGGAGCGGGGCCGGGAGGGATCCCGGGATAACGGGGCCGGGATGGGCTGGGAGCGGGGCCGGGAGGGATCCCGGGATAACGGGGCCGGGATGGGCTGGGAGGGATCCCGGGATAACGGGGCCGGGATGGACTGGGAGGGATCCCCGGAATAACGGGGCCGGGATGGGCTGGGAGGGATCCCCGGGATAACGGGGCCGGGAGAGAGAGATCTCCCGGGATAACGGAGCCGGGATGGGCTGGGAGGGATCCCGGGATAACGGGGCCGGGATGGGCTGGGAGGGATCCCGGGGTAACGGAGCCGGGAGATCCCTCGGGATAACGGAGCCGGAAAAGAGAGATTCCTCGGGATAACGGAGCCAGGAGATTCCTCGGGATAACGGAGCCGGGAAAGAGAGATTCCTCGGGATAACGGAGCCAGGAGATTCCTCGGGATAACGGAGCCGGAAGAGAAAGATCCCTCGGGATAACGGAGCCGGGAGATTCCTCAGGATAACGGAGCCGGGGCTGAAGGAGCGGGGGGTGCCCGGTACGGATCCCTCCGGCCTCACCGGCGGCGGAGCCCCGAGCTCAGAACCGCACGGGGGGGCTCAGCAGCATCCAGGGATTCCCAGCAGCATCCAGGGGGGCTCAGCTGAAACCAGGGGGGCTCAGCAGCATCCAGGAGGAATCAGCAGCATCCAGAGGGTCTCAGGAATGCTTGGGGGGCTCAGCCGTGTTCAAGGGGGGCTCAGCCGTGTCCTGGGGGGGCTCAGCTGCATCCAGGGGAGCTCGGCTGCATCCAGGAGGAATCAGCAATGCTTGGGGGGCTCAGCAGTGTCCTGGGGGGCTCAGAAGCATCCAAGGACTCCCAGCTGCATCCAGGGGGGCTCAGCAGGATCCAAAGGCTCCCAGCAGCATCCAAGGGTTCCCAGCAGCATCCAGGGGGGCTCAGCTGCATCCAGGGTGGCTCGGCTGCATCCAGGAGGAATCAGCTGCATCCAGGGGAGCTCAGCAGCATCCAGGGGGGCTCAGCTGTGTCCAAGGGGGGCTCAGAAGCATCCAGGAGGAATCAGCAGCATCCAAAGGCTCCCAGCAGCATCCAGGGGGGCTCAGCTGCATCCAGGGGGGCTCAGCAGCATCCAGGGGGGCTCAGCTGCATCCAGGGGGGCTCAGCTGCATCCAGGGGTCTCAGCGCGGAGCCGCCGCCCTCCTCCTCCTCCCCATGGCCGGGGCAGAGCGGAGCGGCCCCGGGAGCGGCCCCGCCTCGGCCGCAATGGCCGCGGCTGCCGCGATGCTGCGGCGGGAGAGACGGGAGAGGAGGAGCGGGATGGGAGGGATGGGAGGGATGGGAGGGATGGGGAGGGATGGGAGGGATGGGGAGGGATGGGGAGGGATGGGGAGGGATAAAGAGGGATGGGGAGGGATGGGAGGGATGGGGAGGGATGGGGAGGGATGGGAGGGATGGGAGGGATGGGGAGGGATGGGGAGGAAGGGAACATTCCCGGGGCTCTGAGCTCTGCCTGGATCCTTCCCTTCTCCAGGGGAACATTCCCGGGGCTCTGAGCTCTGCCTGGATCCTTCCCTTCTCCAGGGGAACATTCCCGGGGCTCTGAGCTCTGCCTGGATCCTTCCCTTCTCCAGGGGAACATTCCCGGGGCTCTGAGCTCTGCCTGGATCCTTCCCTTCTCCAGGGGAACATTCCCGGGGCTCTGAGCTCTGCCTGGATCCTTCCCTTCTCCAGGGGAACATTCCCGGGGCTCTCCCAGCGAGGTTTTCCTTGGATTCAGGGATCCTTTCCCTCCTCTCCCATCTCTCCGCCAGTCTCAGAACCTCCGGGCTCCCCACGTTTAATTCCCCAAGTATTAATTATATTATAATTAAGAAATTTATTTTTTAAGGAACACCACAAACAGAAACACTTTGACCCAAGAAACCTCCTGCCACTCCGGATTTTGCTCCTCATCCAAAAAAAGAAGCCATAAAAACATTTGTCGCCTCGAAAAATTAATTAATTAAAATATCTCCCCCTTATAAAATAAGCAATAAAAACATTTTTCCTTTAAATATTAAGTAATAAAAACCTTTTCTTCCTTATAAAATAAGCAATAAAAACATTTTTATGTATCAAATATGCAATAAAGGCATTTTTTCCCTTAAAAAATAAGTAATAAAAGGATTTTTCTCCTCAAGTCATAAAAGGATTTTTTTCCTTATAAAATAAGCCATAAAAGGATTTCCCCCCTTTATAAAATCAGCAATAAATGCATCTTTCCCTTTATAAATCACCCGATATCCCAATATCCCAGTGCCTGGATCCCAATATCCCGATGTCCCAGTGCCTGGATCCCGATATCCCAATATCCCGGTGCCTGGATCCGGTGTCCCGATATCCCGGTGTCCCCAAGCCCAGCTCCCGGTATCCCAAAATCCCAAAATCCCAATATCCCGGTGTCCCGACGTCCCGAGTGTCACTAGGTGTCACTGCTCCCCCGGCAATCCGGGATACGGGCTGGAATGGGATCGGGATGGGGAATGGGACCGGGAATGGGATCGGGATGTGTGGGACAGGAACGGGGAATGGGATCGGGATGGGGGGACAGGAACGGGAATGGGATCGGGATGGGGGGACAGGAACGGGGAATGGGATCGGGAATGGGGGACAGGAACGGGAATGGGATCGGGATGGGGGGACAGGAACGGGGAATGGGATCGGGATGTGGACACGGGAACGGGGAATGGGATCGGGATGGGGGGACAGGAACGGGGAATGGGATCGGGATGTGTGGGACAGGAAAGGGGAATGGGATCGGGATGGGGGGACAGGAACGGGAATGGGATCGGGATGTGTGGGACAGGAACGGGAATGGGATCGGGATGGGGGGACAGGAATGGGGAATGGGATTGGGATGGGGGGACAGGAAAGGGGAATGGGATCGGGATGTGTGGGACAGGGAGGAGGGAACAGGAGCTTTCCTGCCTCCAATTGTTCCCATCATAATTTAGGGATGGGACTTTTCCTGTCCTAATTTTGGGATGGGATTGTTCCTGTCCATAATTTCAGGATGGGATTTTTCCTGTCCATAACTTTGGGATGGGATTGTTCCTGTCCTAATTGAGGATGGGATTGTTCCTGCCATAACTTTGGGATGGGATTTTTCCTGCCATAACTTTGGGATGGGATTTTTCCTATCCTAATTTCAGGATGGGATTGTTCCTGCCATAACTTCAGGATGGGATTGTTCCTGTCCTAATTGAGGGTTGGGATTGCTCCTGCCATAACTTTGGGATGGGATTGTTCCTGTCCATAATAACTTTGGGATGGGAATGTTCCTGCCATAACTTTGGGATGGGTTTTTTCCTGCCATAACTTTGGGATGGGATTGTTCCCATCCATAAGTTTGGGATGGGATTGTTCCTGCCATAACTTGGATGGGATTGTTCCCCAAAACTCCCCCAGCACTGAGCCCCCAGTGCCACCCCAAGTGCCACCCCAGTGCCACCTTGGCCTCTCCAGGGGGTCATTCCCATGAGGAACATCCCAAAAAATCCCCCGGTGGCCCAGGGCCAGCACAGCCCCGTGGGAAGGGATTGTCCCAACCCCACTGACCCCACATGGATCCCACAGGATCCCTGGGGCAATTTGGGGTGATCCCACAGGGATCCCTGGGGCTGTTTGGGATGATCCCACATGGATTTCTGGGGCTGTTTGGGATGATCCCACAGGGATCCCTGGGGCAGTTTGGGATGATCCCATCCCCACAGGGATCCCTGGGGCTGTTTGGGATGATCCCACAGGGATCCCTGGTGCAGTTTGGGATGATCCCACATGGATTCCTGGGGCTGTTCAGCATGATCCCACACAAATCTCTGGGGCAGTTTGGGATGATCCCATCCCCACAGGGATCCCTGGGGCAGTTTGGGATGATCCCATATGGATTTCTGAGTCTGTTCAGGATGATCCCATCCCCACAGGGATCCCTGGGGCAGTTTGGGATGATCCCACAGGGTTCCCTGGGGCACTTTGGGATGATCCCATCCCCACAGGGATCCCTGGGGCAGTTTGGGATGATCCCACAGGGATCCCTGGGGCAGTTTGGGATGATCCCATCCCACAGGGATCCCTGGGGTTGTTTGGGATGATCCCACATGGATTCCTGGGGCAGTTTGGGATGATCCCACAGGGATCCATGGGGCAGTTTGGGATGATCCTACAGGGATTTCTGGGGTTGTTTGGGATGATCCCACACGGATCCCTGGGGCAGTTTGAGGTGATCCCATCCCCACAGGGATCCATGGGGCAGTTTGGGATGATCCCACATAGATTTCTGGGGCTGTTTGGGATGATCCCACAGGGATCCCTGGTGCAGTTTGGGATGATCCCACATGGATTTCTGGGGTTGTTTGGGATGATCCCACATGGATTTCTGGGGCAGTTTGGGATGATCCCACCCGTGGGAAACTCGGAGCTGGATCTTCCATGAAAACAGAGCTGAGGGAACTTTGGGAATGGGGGTTCCATCACCCGAGCTCACCCACAGGGCCCCAAAGGGCTGCTCTGGCTCTTCCCGCAGTTCCCAGCACAGAAACCTCCTCCAAAATGTGTTTTCCCAAAAAAAAAAACCCTCCCCACTTCCCTAGGAGTGCACAGCCAGGAGCTCATTCCCACTAACAGCCATGTGGGAAATCCCACTCCCACAAAATCTGATCTCTGCAAATTCCCCTAAAAACACTCCCAAACGCCATTCCCTGAGAGCCAATTCCCAAAGCTCCCTCAGGAAATCCATCCCTGAGAGCCGCTTGCCAAACCCAGCACAAATCCCACAGGCACAAATCCTGCTGGTCCATTCCCCCAAATCCCCCTCCTCATCCCACCCCAAACTTCTCCCGTCCAAACCCATTCCCTAAACGCCCCTCACATCCCCCCCGGCCCCATTCCCGCTCTCAGTCCCCAATCCATTCTCCTGATCCCCTCTGCGCCCCCAACCCCTTCCCCACGGCCCCTCCCTCCTCCCCAAACCCGCTCCCCTTCCCGACCCTTTTCCATGCCGGACCCTCTTCCCAAAACTTCCACCTTCCCTATTTTCCTGGCCGCCCATCCCATTCCCAGAGATCCCCCTCAAAGCCGCTCCCATTCCCGATCCCTTCCCACGCCGACCCCTCCTCTGTCCCCCAAAATCCCTCCCTGGGCCTTTCCCATCCCAACCCTCCCTCCCTCCAACCGCTCTCCGCTCCCTTTTCCCGCTCCCACCCCAAACCCTCCTCCTCCTCCTCCTCCTCCTCCCTTCTCCCCCTTCCTCCAACCCCTCTCCCTTCCCTTCTGCCCATCCCTCCTCATCCAACCCCTCCCTCCATTGCTCCCCTCTCCCCTCCCTCCCTATCCTCACCTTAATCCCTCTCCCCTCCCTCTCTGCCCACCCAAACCCTCCCTCCCTCCACCCCAATCCCTCTCCCCTCCCTTCCCTCCCTCCCTCCCCATCTGAACCCTCCGTCCATTGCTCCCCTCTCCCTTCCCTTCCCCTTCCTCTCTATCTTCACCCCAATCCCTCCCCTCCCTTCCCTCCCTCCCCACCCAAACCTTCCCTCCCTCCATCCTAACCCCTCTCCCCTCCTTTCCCCTTCCTCCCTCCCCATCCAAACCCTCTTTCCATTGCTCCCCTCTCCCACTCCCTCCCTATCCTCACCCTAATCCCTCTCCCCTCCCTTCCCTCCCTCCCTGCCCACCCAAACCCTCCCTCCCTCCATCCTAACCCCTCTCCCCTCCCTCCTTATCCCCACCCCAATCCCCCTCCCCTCCCTCCATCCCATCCCTCCCCTCCCTCCCCTTCCTTCCCTCCCTGCCCATCCAAACCCTCCCTCCATTGCTCCCCTCTCCCCTCCCTCCCTATCCCCACCCCAATCCCCCTCCCCTCCCTTCACTCCCTGCCCACCCAAACCTTCCCTCCCTCCATCCTAACCCCTTCCCTTCCCTTCCCTTCCCTTCCCTTCCCTTCCCTTCCCTTCCCTTCCCTTCCCTTCCCTTCCCTTCCCTTCCCTTCCCTTCCCTTCCCTTCCCTTCCCTTCCCTTCCCTTCCCTTCCCTTCCCTTCCCTTCCCTTCCCTTCCCTTCCCTTCCCTTCCCTTCCCTTCCCTTCCCTTCCCTTCCCATCCAAACCCTCCCTCCCTCCATCCTAACCCCTCTCCCCTCCCCTCTCCCCTCCCTCCTTATCCCCACCCCAATCCCCCTCCCCTCCCTTCCCTCCATCCATCCCTCCCCACCCCTCCCCTCCCTCCCTCTCTCCCCGCCTGCCCCTCGGGGCGGAGCGGATCGGATCGGGCCGGGCGGTGCCGGGCGCGCAGCTCGGAGCATCCCGGCTGAGCTCGGTTGTGCTCCCCACGGCTCCGCCCGGCCCAGCTGGGCTCGGCACGGCTCGGAACGGCTCCGGCGGGCCCGGCTCGGTCCGCCTGCATGCGGCGGCGGCGGCGGCGGGGATGAACGGCTCGGTGGGAGCTCTACCGGGGATGAACGGCTCGGTGGGACTCCCAGCGGGGATGAACGGCTCGGTGGGAGCCCTACCGGGGATGAACGGCTCGGTGGGAGCCCCACCGGGGATGAACGGCTCGGTGGGACTCCCAGCGGGGATGAACGGCTCGGTGGGAGCCCTACCGGGGATGAACGGCTCGGTGGGAGCCCCACCGGGGATGAACGGCTCGGTGGGACTCCCAGCGGGGATGAACGGCTCGGTGGGAGCCCCACCGGGGATGAACGGCTCGGTGGGAGCTCTAACGGGGATGAACGGCTCGGTGGGAGCCCTACCGGGGATGAACGGCTCCTCGGCGGGGCTGCCACCGGGCGCTCCGGCGGGGATGAACGGCTCGGTGGGAGCCCTACCGGGGATGAACGGCTCGCTGGGAGCCGCGGGGCTGCTGGCGGGGACCGGGGCCGCGGCTCTGGAGCTGGAACGGGCGCTGCGCTGCTGCACCGCCGCCTCCGTGGTGACCGACGGCAGCGGCGGGGACGCGGACGAGCGCAGCGTGTACATCATGCGGGTGGTGCAGATCGCCGTGATGTGCGTGCTGGCCCTCACCGTGGTGTTCGGCATCTTCTTCCTCGGCTGCAACCTCCTCATCAAGTCCGAGGGCATGATCAACTTTCTGGTCAAGGAGCGCCGCCCGTCCAAAGAGGTGGAGGCGGTGGTGGTGGGGCCGTACTGACCGCCGGACTGACCGGACTGACCGGACTGACCGAACGGGGTGGGCTCGGAGCTTTTCCTCCTGCAAAACGCCAGGAGAATGGATGCCGGGATGCCGGAGCTCGGGATTTGTTCGGGGTGGCCGGAGCCGCCCATCCCATCCCATCCCGGCCCGGCCCGGTGCGGTCCCGCCGGCCGCGGCTGCCGAAGTAAAGCGCGCTCTGCTGGCAACAGGTCTGGGCTCCTTATTCCGTCCGCCTCCACCCTTTCCCTTTCCCTTTCCCCTTTCCTTTTCCCTTTCCCCTTTCTCTTTCCCCTTTCCCTGTTCCCCTTTCCCCTTTTCTCTTTCCTTTCCCTTTCCCTTTTCCCTTTCCTTTCCCCTTTCTCTTTTCTCTTTCCCCTTTCCCTTTCCCCTTTCCCCTTTCCCCTTTCCCTTTCCCCTTTCCCTTTCCTTTCCTCTTTCCCTTTTCCCTTTCCCCTTTCTCTTTCCCCTTTCCCTTTCCCCTTTCCCTTTCCCCTTTTCTCTTTCCTTTTCCTTTCCCTTTCCCCTTTCCCCTTTCCCCTTTTCCCTTTCCCTTTTCCCTTTTCCCTTTCCCCTCCTTTCCTTTCCCTGTCCCTCCCGACCCATCCCCGCGGGATTTCCCGTCCAACCACCCTAAATTTTCCCTTTCCCAGCGCTTTTCCAGCCTTTTCCCAGCGCTTTTCCAGCCCCCCGCATCTCTGATGCGGGAATTGCGTTCCTGTGGCCAGGGAAAACGCCCAGCCCGGCGGGATCCCGCTGCCCGGGAATACAGCGGGAATTTTGGCTTTGGGAAAGCCCAAAATCCAGTTTTTATTATCCCAGCTCCCAGCAGGACCAACAGGTGACTTGGTGCGGGCACGCTGCAGGGAGGGAGAAGCCGCTGCTCCCACGGGATTTGGATTTCTCCATCCATTCCCTCCGCAGGGATCTCCCCGAGGTGTTTTTCCCATTCCCGAGCGGGCTCCTGGATAAATCCACCGGCCAGAGGCGCTTCCCGGGAATCCCAGCAGCGGGATGGGGACACAGAAGCTCCAACAACATGCGGGAAAAAAAGAAAAAAAAAAAAATCGCTCTCCTGACTCCCGAATTCCTGCCGGGAAATATTGATTTTAGCGCTGGAAGCTTTTGGAGCTTCCCGGTTTATCCCGGGGGTAGGAGATGGCCGAGCTCCCGAAATTTAATGGACACTCCTAGGAGAGGTTATGGGGAGTTTAAAGTGGGGATGGAGAAGGTGAAATCCATTTGCAGCTGGGCTGGAAGGGGTGGAAAAAGCCGGAGCTGCCAGAGGCAAGAGCAGAGCATCCCCATGGAATCAATCCCCCGGGGCCGCAGGAATCTCGGCAGCGATCCCTCATTTCCAGCCGCCTTTTCAGGGAAGGACAAAGAACAGATCTGCCTGTTCTCCCGGGAACAAACACACCCCGCATCGGGAATCGCGGAACAGAAATGTTCCCGGAGCATCCCGGCCGAGCTGCCTGCAGAAACGCATCCAAAATTCCCCTTTTTTTACCCTTCACTGCCAGAGGAACGCCGGGGAAAGAGGAATTTTGGGATAAATCAATAAGAGATGGGTCTCAGTCATTCCAAAGCATTTCCAGCTGTTTAATTGGAATATTTTGTGGTGGTGGTGTGGAGAACAAGAGCATTCCCACATCCTGGAATGCTTGGGCACTTTTTGGGAGTTAACTCTTCAGGAATCCTTCATTAATTACAGGGAGTGGAACACATTTTAATTAACCTTAATTCCTAACACCGGAATTCCAAGCCGAGGCAAACTCCTGGTTCTGACCTAAAATTGTGGAATTTTTCAGCCTCAATCCAAGATCCCTCCTTGCCTGGTGCCCCTACACTAATCCAGCGTTTGTGGCTCTAATCCCTAAAAATATCCCTGATTTTAGGCAGGGAAATGTCAGGAAAAGGGTTTTTCCTGCTGGGTGATGTGGAGATGCTGGGACACATCCAGGGCATCCGTGGGATTTGGGCCTCTCTCCCTCTGTCCCGTGGGGATTTGGGATCTGGCACGGAGAACAAATGGGATATTTATAACCTGTGCATGGCTCGGGAGAGGGAGGGGGAGGAAGAACCCCTCAGACTCTGGGATCACCTCAATCCCACATTTTTGAGGTGATGGAGGAGCAGGAACCTCATGGGAAACAAAGATTTTCCAGCTGCTCCCACCATTTTTAGGAAAACACCCGGAAAGCTGCAGGAATAATCAGTGGGATGGACAAATTTTGGATTTTTAGGGCTTTTTTGAGGTGAACAACACCTAAAAATTCCCTGCAGCCCCAAGCAGAGCAGGCCCCCGATGGAATATTTGCAATTCTCATGGAATGAAAACTCCAGTGTGACTTTGTGGAGTCAGGGTTGGCATTCTCTCACCTCAGGCTCCCTAAATTCCCAATTCCCGTCTCCACAGCCGGGACATCATTTCTATGGATGAATCCCAGTGGCTGCACCCCCCTCAGCGCTCAGCTCCCAGCTGGAAAATCCTGGAAAAACCGTCTGCTGGGAATAAACCCCCTAAAATCCCCCCCGGATCCCAATATTCAGCTGGGAACCCACTGTAAAATATCCCAATATTCAGCTGGGAACACCCTTTAAAAACCTCAATATTCAGCTGGAATCCCCCTCTAAAAATCCCAATATTCAGCAGGAATCTGGCTGTAAAAAAATCCCAATATTCAGCTGGGAACCCACTTTAAAAATCTCAATATTCAGGTGAGAACCCACTTTAAAAATCCCAATATTCAGCTGGGAATCCACTTCAAGAATCCAAATATTCAGCTGTGAATCCACTTTAAAAATCTCAATATTCAGGTGGGAACCCACTTTAAAAATCTCAATATTCAGCTGGGAATCCCACTGAAAAAGCCCAATATTCACCTGTAAAATATTCACCACTATAGAATTCATGATACTCAGCTGGGAACCCACTTCAAGAATCCCAATATTCAGCTGGGAATCCACTTCAAAAATCCCAATATTCAGCTGGGAACCCACTTTAAAAACCTCAATATTCAGCTGGAAATCCCTCTAAAAAAATCCCAATATCCAGCTGGGAACCCACTTCAAAAATCCCAATATTCAGTTGGGAACCCACTTTAAAAATCCCAATATTCAGCTGAGAACCCGCTTCAAAAATCCCAATATTCAGCTGGAAACCCACTTTAAAAATCCCAACATTCAGCTGGCCCCCCTCATTAGCAGGAGCCCATTAATGATCATTAACGAGCGGCTCATTAGGGCGCTGCTCCGCCTCCCGGGCCTGTTTGTGCCCAGGAATGGATCGGATCCCATTGATCCCATTGATCCCAGCGGGAATAATGCTGGGGAGCCCCAGGGGACAGTGACCCATCCTATTCCGATTCCTCGGGAACAGAACAGAGCTGAGCTTTGGAGTTTTTGTTTCAAATTCGGGATTTTTTTGGAGCTGTTCCTGGCAGCCAAATTTCTCCAGCCAATTCCCAGCCCCTGGGCCTGGAATTGTAATTCCCAAACTTTGGAGTCAAAGGGTCGATGCAGGAATTATTTGGAAGTGTTCAGGCACTGTTGGAATGAAGGGTTGGTTTTTTCATCCCAAAATTTCCTGAGTCCTCCAAGGTGAAATTGTAACAACAACATCTTCTCCCTTCACTGAACAGAATTCCAGACCAAGGAATATTGGTGGATATAGAATTTTTTCCCTCAGGAATATGGAGCTGAGCTGGGAATGTTCCCCTGGAGAAGGGAAGGATCCAGGCAGAGCTCAGAGCCCCGGGAATGTTCCCCTGGAGAAGGGAAGGATCCAGGCAGAGCTCAGAGCCCCGGGAATGTTCCCCTGGAGAAGGGAAGGATCCAGGCAGAGCTCAGAGCCCCTGGCAGGGCCTGAAGGGCTCCAGGAGAGCTGGAGAGGGACTGGGGACAAGGGATGGAGGGACAAGAGCCAGGGAATGGCTCCCACTGCCAGAGGGCAGGGATGGGTGGGAGATTGGGAATTGGGAATTCCTGGCTGGAATGGAATTCCCAGAGCAGCTGGGGCAGTGCCCAAGGCCGGGCTGGAGCAGCCTGGGATGGTGGGAGTTGTCCCTGCCCATGGCAGGGGGTGTAATGTGATGGTTTTGAAGTCCCTTCCATCCCAAACCATCCCATAATTCCCTAATTTATCCAATATTTGCTGATGCATTTATAGGGATCTGTTTTTTCATGGACACCTTTATTATTTATGCCAAAAATCCGATATTTTTTATCTCTGGGGCCCAGACTCTTCCTCTGAAGACGGAAACAGGAACAACCTGGAGCTTTCCAGGGCTGAGCAGATCCATCAGTCTGGCCACGGGCAGCTTGGGACCTATCCCACAGTTATGGGATGTATTTTTAGTCCGTGGAAAAGCAGTGCCAGGAGCATCTGATATGACAAACACACAAAGCAATCCATCAATGTCCCGGCTGTTATTCCATCAAAACCAGGAGCGATTCACCTCCCCACTCCTCGCTGCTCTTTGGGAAGTGTCTCCAGGGAGCCTGGAGCAGGGAGGGAGATGGAGGGGATGGAGTGGGGATGGAGGAGATGGAATCAGGATTAAATCAATGGAGCCAGGATGAAGGAGATGGGGATGGAGGAGATGGGATGGGAATGGAAGAGATGGAAATAAAGGAAATGGAGCCGGGATGGAAGAGATGGAATCGGGATTAAATAAATGGAATTGGGATGAAGGAGATGCAGTGGGAATGGAAGAGATGGAGTGGGGATGAAGGAGATGGGGATGGACGAGATGGGATGGGAATGGAAGAGATGGAAATAAAGGAAATGAAGCCAAGATGAAGGCAATGGAATCAGGACTAAATAAATCAAGCCAGGATGAAGGAGATGGAGCAGGGATGGAGGAGATGGACATAAAGGAAATGGAGCCGGGATGAAGGCGATGGAATCAGGATTAAATAAATTGAGCCAGGATGAAGGAGATGGAATCAGGATTAAATAAATGGAGCCAGGATGGAGGAGATGGGGATGGAGGAGATGGAATGGGAATGGAAGAGATGGAAATAAAGGAAATAGAGCCAGGATGAAGGAGACTGAGTGGGGATGGAAGAGATTGGGATGGAGGAGATGGAGTGGGGATGGAGATGATGGAATCAGGATGAAATAAATGGAGCCAGGATGAAGGAGATGGAGCAGGGATGGAGAAGATGGAAATAAAGGAAATGGAGCCAGGATGGAAGAGATGGG